TCTTATTTTATCTACAAATGTAAATAAATAAAATGTTTTATCTAATATTTAAAATAAATACAAAAAAAATTATATATTGATAAATAAAATTTTTTATGTAATATAACATAACATATTATATCAGGTAGAACATTGCATATATATATATATATATATATATATATATATATATATATATATATATATATATATATATATATATATATATATATATATATATATATATATATATATATATATATGTATATATATATAAATAGTATTTATTTTATACATTAGTTGCAACATTTTATTTATTACATTTGTAGATAGAACAAGATAATAGTGAGGGGACGACATATAACACATGTAATTTGTTATATTTTCAAATACATATACTACATGCAATATCAATAAATAGTCAATATGTTATAAGATTTTTTTAAATAGACATAAACAGTTCAGTTTGAAGTCTACTTTTGAAAATAATGAATATGTTAACCGAAGACATACAGTCGAAAAATTTATTTATTTTCATTAATTATTACTAATTTTATTTATTTTTATTTAAAACTGAAGTAAAAATGTTCCGTTATTTTAAGTATTTTCTTTGCTTCTTTTAGCATTTTCTTTCTCATAAATCTGACCAGCATAAAAAAACGTTTCTTGCGTTTATTTTTACTATTGTAAGAGTAACTTAGTTTTAATTTTTAAATGATATTTTTTTTTCTTTGCTAAACTATGTACAATGACGTATAAATATAACTAGATGCGTGACTCGCAGCTTTTTGCGTATAACTTAGTGAAGCCAGCGTCCGCCATTTTGCAGTACGGCAAAAACATGAGACGCAACTATAAAAACAGAGAATTATTTATCAAAATAATAATTAGTCATGAAATTTTGATAAATTTTTTATTGTTTTGTTAAATTAAATTTGATTTGATTAATAAAGCATCTTTAAAGAATTAATTTTTACTATATTTTCAATTTAGATATATATGTATATATATATATAAATATATATATATATATATATATATATATATATATATATATATATATATATATATATATATATATATATATATATATATATATATATATATATATATATATATTATATATATATATATATATATATATATATATATATATATACACACATATATATAGCACATAGCCACAATATACTGAACTGGTTTTCAGCTATTCTATCTAATGTACAGTATTAGACAAAACATTTGCAACCAACATCGAATAATGCTAAAAAGTGTTCGTAATTTTACATGTCTTAAAAACGAAACGAACTATCGCAGCAAACAGTTCAGGAGTCTGGAGTCATAACATGCCATGACATGAGCAATCAGCTGACAGGTGACAGCACACAGGCAGAATTTTGTTGACAAGTGCTATTTTGCAGCGGACAAAACAAGCGCAAATTTTTTGGTTTGTTTCATTTTCTTAAGTTTTTTAATAATTAAAGGAAGTATACAGAAGTTTCCAGAAGCATGCAGAAGCTTTTAGAAGTTTCCAGAAGAAGCATCTGGTAGCATCCAGAAGTATCCAGAAAAATTCAGAAGCATCGAAAATCTTCCAGAACAGGTTCACACAGGTTCATTTTACAATATAAGAGACATGTAAACCGACATGTAATTCAGTCAGTATATGGAAGTCAATCAGTCAGTATTATCAAGACAGTTTATCGAAGTGAGTTTGATCAAAGTGTTTTATCGAAAAACATCAATACAACAAGTAAAATACAAAGTATTGATGTGTTTCATTACATCAATACAGTCCACATCCAACCAAGACGTTGCGTTCCACAGAGCAGTATTGTGTCATCACAAGGTAAATGTAGCACGGTAAGCCTTGAGAAGCGTGATTGTTTATTTTTATTATTTTTATGACCTCAAGTGCAAAAATGGCTCCCAACAGTCTTGGATTGGAACTAAGAAAGTAAATTAATGGCGATTACGTAAAATGAATGTCACAAAAAAGTATTTGTGATAAATATTGCGTGAAAAAATGGACCGTATCAAGACTATGTTCCACATATCGTTCTAGTGGGAAGTTGGCAGTAGATAACAAAGATGGAAGACCGCGTTCCACCACTTCTAGAGAAGATTCTATTATCGCCAGATCCGTCAAGAAGTATCCCTGGATATCATCAGTCGAGATACAAAAGCAATTAGAGCTGCCTGTATCGGACCGAACAATCAAACGACATGCTGTTGAAGCCGGATTGTTTTCTCGACGCCCTGCAAAAAAACGGCTGATTTCACTTTAGAACCAGAAAAAAAACTCCTGTTTGCTACATCTCATATTGACTGGAATGTGCGGAAATGGCGAACTGTCCTGTTCAGTGATGAATCGAAGTTCAATATCATTGGGAGCGATGGCATTTGCCGTGTATGTCGACCGGCCGGAAAACGCCTCGATTTACGTTACTGCCATAAGACCGTGAAGCATGTTGGAGGCAATGTAATGGTCTGGGGTGTTTTTCTGGTAACGGTCTAGGCCCAATACATCGAATCGATGGAATAATGGACAGTTTTATTATAAAAATATCCTGATAGATGTTATGTTACTTTATGCTGAATGGAATATGCCAATAAAATGGGTTTTTCAACAAGACAATGATCCGAAACTGCAAAAGTAATCAGTAGTTTCAAGACAACTACCTATCGGTGATGTATTGGCCGCCTCAATCTCCGGATCTCAACTCCATCGAGAACCTGTGGGAGATCGTCAACCACAGAATTAATCGTGAAGGTGTTCATAATAAGGATCAACTGTTTGAACAAATCCAAAAGGCCTGGGCAGCGATTCCACAAAGTTTTATTGATCACCTGATCGAATCTATGCCTTGTAGATGCAAGGCTGTGATCGACAACAAAGAATTCGCCACAAAATATTGATAGCGAAATACAGCTTGGTCATTATTTTGTGGAGTTGCACTTGTTTTGTCCAGAAGGAAATCAACTTTTTTAAATACTTTTGATTAATTTATTAATTTTCGTGTACAAATAATGAACTTTGTGATGAATAAAACTTAAAGAACGTTGTATCTAAACAGTTACATATTATATATTTATTTCTCTAAATTGAAAAAATGCAGCACTTTTATATAAAGAAACTAAATTAGCATTATTTGGTTGCACTTGTTTTGTCCGATACTGTAATGTCACTTTAACCAAATCAAGCAATTTTTAAAAAAAACCTGTTTTCAGGTCCGAAAAATATTTACTTGTTATACAACAATAAGTTCCAGTTTGATGAATTGGTTTTCAGCCATTTGATGAATTGGTTTCAGCCATTCTGTCTAATGTAATGTCATTTTTAACAAATCAAAAGAAAAATCAATTTTCAGGTCCAAAATATATTTAAGTATATAATTATATTTAAATATAATTTGCAGACTTTTCTGTTTGAGCTAATTCAAGAGCTAATTTATGTTAATAATTTACAGATGAACGTTTATTAGCTAGGTACATAGCCACATATCTTTCATTTAAGTACCAACTGTATTTTTTGTGTTCTTAAAGTGTCTTCCGCACATATTTCATGAATAGCTTTCCTTATTGCAATGATATTATATTGGAGTTAAGTTTTTCTCAATATGTCTTTAAATAGGAACAATATCAGACTTTTTAAATTTTAAAATAATAGACATGATGCTATATTAATTGTAGAAATATTTGGAAAATTAACACATAGCAGTACCTCTGCAACAAAGTTTTCTTAATAAGCCATTGTGTTATATGTTATATATATTTTTATTTCTTTTTCCAACATAAAAAACTTCATAGTGAAATTTTTTTTGCATAATTGCTCGACGACATTATTTTTATTTACACGAAAAAAATAAAAATAATTTACAAAATATTTTTTTGACTTCTCTCCCACTGCCCTCACCCCTCAACTATCCAAAAATATACATCATATTTTCAAATGGGTAGAACCGACCATTACCATCTTTACTAAAAAATAAATAATAATAATTTAAAGTTATATAGATCAAGGTACACAAGTAAAACTCAAAGTATATTTGAAATATTTGTAAGTGACCCTGCCCCCACCATAAATGCAAAAAATTTTAATTTTTGTATTTTCAGACTGCTGGGACCAAGTTTTTATCTGCGATGGTGGAGAAGTTTTTTTTCAATTTGGAAAAAAAGTATTACTATTTTAAGTTAATACAAGTAAAAGTTCATCTTTTGCCACTATTCAAAAAATATGAAGTGTGCTTTTTAGTCATACCCCAATACATACATACATACATATATATATATATATATATATATATATATATATATATATATATATATATATATATATATATATATATATATATATATATATATATATATATATATATATATATATATATATATATATATATAAACAAGAAGATTTGTAACTCAACCAGATACAATAATAAACAAAAAAATTTTTATGAAAAAACTAAAGGAACTTGTATAATGGATACAAAAATTCTAGCATGACACAAAAAAGTCGAAGAATATCTTTTTAATACAGATATCAGTTTTGTAAATACTATTAAAACTATACCTCGTTAAACACTCCATATATTTACTAGATTTTCTAAGTTTATCTTTTCCCCATTTCCTTTTCGATTAAATTTGGACTGTAACTGATTAGAAAATAACCTGATAAATATTTTAACAATAAACTGAAATATATTTATAAAAATTTTTATTTTAATATATGTAAAAAATTAAAATATATTTTAATATATGAATGCTTAAAAATATGAAAAGTAAAAGCATTAAATTTGAAAATAAAATGCTAAACAAGGTTTAGCATTACACTTACTTTAGCACTCAAACAAACTTAAACACCTACAGTGAAGCTCCCGAGTTTATCAAATTGTCATGTTAAAAGTAAATCCATAACAAATAACGATCAAAATGAATTGCTATTGGTCCTTTTTAATCATATTTCTAATAATTAATAAAAACATAATCATTTATTTTTTCATGATCAAAAAAACATGTTCTCTTGGCTTTCCACCACCAATCTTTTTCAAACTATCAAGCTGAAATAAATGTAATAAAAACTAGTGTAACTTAAATTTCTTTACAACATATTGAGTCTAACACAAGCTAGTTATTTTAGTTCATTTACAAATACTTTTCATTTAGATTCTAAACTAGTAAACCAAATTTAAACAAACTTATTAAAAATTAAGATAATTAGATTATACCAAATTAATATACTCAGTTTTATCTTTTAGTTTAATATTCAGTGTAACAACTTCGTCCACTGATTCTAGCAACTTCACCCCAGTAGCCTGAAACTTAATTTCTATAACTTCTTTTAAAAGAACTTTTATTTCTGCAAGCTCGTTGAGAATAACATTTTGCATCTCTACAAACAAGAATAAAAAGATTGATTAACATATTTAGCTAATAAAACCAAATAGCAAAACAATGAAAAATGAACTTTAAAATTCAAATTATGCTTGAGTAACTCAAACTAAAATTCCAAAAATACATGTAAGTTTTTTAATTACTCCATCGCAGAAGTTGCCATAATATTTTGGAAAACCTACTTTTTAAATCAGCTAAAACTTTATCCTGTAAAAAGTTACGATATTAGAGAATTTTGTTTAACTACTAAAGGTAAAATGCTTCACACATTTATCGGATCACAATATTATAAATAATCCATTTCTATTCTTTTATACCTATCTTTTTCAATTATTTTAATACAAAAACAAATTAACAAAAAAGACCTCCACATTAACATTCAGTGGTGTAAAAACCAAAAAAACTCATATTAAAACTTGAAACTCTTTGACAATGTGAACTTTGCTTGGTTTTATTCTGTAAAATTTTTCTTCACATTTTATCAATAAAATGTGAAGAAAAATTATCTTCTTTAATCTTTGAATCTGATTATTATGATCTATTCAAAAGAAATAATTATAATTAGAACTATAAATAATCCCTCAACCATACCTGTTACTTAATTTAATTTTTCAACCAATTTTGTACTCTTTCAATTTCTGAATTTAAACAATTTCAGCATGCTTTCAATCAATTTTCAATTTTCATATTAAGTTGATTAAAGGATTATTTAATACAATAGAATGTTGTCAACATTTTTAACAACATTACAAATAATAGGACACCCAAATAGTTAAAATAAAAGGAAAATCTTAGTAATACATAAAAAAGACTAATAGCTAGATAGATATTATTCAGATCAAATTAAACAAGAATCTATTTCAGTTTATAAACCATTAAGAAAAAAATAAGATATTTGTGTTATACTTTTATCATTGGGCTTATTCATAATAGGTGGCGGAGGTTCTGGCAATGAAGAGTGGTATGATTTGTTATTCTTATTTTTAATGCTTTCTTTAACATATATCTTATCTGATGTAGAAAGTTGTATTCTTCACAACATGAAAATGAATCTAATTATAAAACATTTTGCTACAAAAAAGTAATTAAGTTACCTTTAAAAAAAACACAAAACAAGTTAGATACTGACTATCTGCTATCTTACACTTTATCAATGGAAATTTGTGCCATTCTTTTGTTGACGAAAGGTTGTTTTTTAGTGCATGATTATAGTTTTTTTTTGGGACAATAAATTTGTTGCTATTCTTTGTCAATCCACTTCTTTAGTGCATAATTACTTGGTTAGAAAAACATATAGAAAAACTTTCCTTTAAAGTTGGGTTATGCTTATACTCATTAGGCTTTTGGTCATAAGAGTATTCATTGTACAAAATCGATGACTCACGATGGTCAAAATATTCTTTTAGATTTTCGCAAGATAAGAAATCATTTTTTTTACAAGTTCCAACATTCGATTTTTTTTTTATATGTACTGACGAAAATTCTAGTATTTTTTAATATTCTTTTTGGACACGTCTACTGCGTCTCTTTTCACATACCCTTTTTGTAAAAGACATAAATGAATCTTGGTTCCTCGATAAAAACGATAAGTGCACAACCAATAAAACAATCTTTTGTGTTATTGAAAAACACTTATATATATATATATATATATATATATATATATATATATATATATATATATTATATATATATATATATATATATATATATATATATATATATATATATATATATATATATATATATATATATATATATATATATATATATATATATATATATATATATATATATATATATATATATATATATATATATATATATATATATATATATATATATAAGTGTTTTTCAATAACACAAAAGATTGTTTTATTGGTTGTGCACTTATAGTTTTTATCGAGGAACCAAGATTCATTTATGTCTTTTACAAAAAGAGCATATATATATATATATATATATATATATATATATATATATATATATATATATGTATATATATATATATATATATATATATATATATATATATATATATATATATATATATATACATATATTTTAATTACATTTTCTTTTATTCTAGAAATAAAATTATCAACTTTGAAATATTAATTTTGTAATATTTCTGCAAAATAAATTTCAAATCACAAAGATTTTAGCAAACATGCTAAGCATCAAATCATCGAAATATTTTGTGAACTATAATAGCATGTTATTTTATCATTTAAAATTTATCAAAAGAAATAATCATTGATGTCTTCCATAGGTTAAAATCTTCATGCTTTTTTCGAAATAAGTTTCCGCAGGGTTTTTAAATGGCGGTCATTTATAATTATCGCTCCGTAAAATTTTTTTCTTGTTTTTATAACAAATCTATAAAAGACATCTTATAGACATCTAAGTTTAGATGAGAAAAAAATTATCCAAGCACGATCTATTTTATGCATCTAATATGCATCCAAAACAGAGCAAAAATAGTATCTCTAGAATCAGACGTCTTTTCGATCGGCAATAGATACAAATTAGACTTTTTTTTTATATATTTTACCATTTTTTATATTTTATATATACTATTCAATATTATTTTATATCATAATATACATTTAAACATTAATGTTTAAATGCTTATTATGAAACACGAATTTAGGGCCTTGAAATTATGAATTTATGGCATGAAATTATGGAGAATTAAGGAAAATGAACGTATGAAGTATTTAAATATGCTTTTTATCAAAATAAATGATATGCTTTTTATCAAAATAAAGACTCTAATTTCGATTCTTCGAAACAAATGTTCAAAAACCAGTAAAGATATTATTTAGTTAAATATTTTTAAAAAGTAATGAATAATGGCGATAAGTGTGACCGAAAATGATTAATGTTTTTTGAATCCACTGGATGTGTATTTTGTTATTTTTGCAAATTGTTTTCAACCGATTACGACAATCTATTTGTCAAAAGTGGTTTTTATAATTGGAAAAATGTTAAACAAATTATTTTTGGCCACGAAAACAGCAAGGAACAAATTCAATTTAGGATTAAGTGTATATAATTCATGGTACAAAATAACTCATATCGATAAATATGTTGTAAGCCAGATTAAAGGCGAGATTAATAATTGGGCTGCAATCTTAAATAGAATAGTAGCAGTTATTCGTTTTTAGCCGTAAGAGGTTTAGCATTTCAAAGCCATAATGAAGTTTTAGGATCGTCAAATAATGGAATTTGCTTTGGCGTGTTAAAACAGTTGCAGTCTCAGTGAGTACATCAACTTTATCAACTATTTTGGCGTTCTGCAGAGTTTGTAATCAATTTGTATCATTATTAAAGTTGCAGTTTCCAGGGTTTTTTTCTTATAAAAAAATAAATTTGAAACTAAAAACACATTGATTCTTCTGGATGTTTTAAACTGGATTGTTAAAACCGAAATTATTGATGTATTTCCAAATGTTTATATTATTTGTTTCTAACTGTTCCCATAACAAATTGGGAGGCTGAGAGATCATTTTCTGCTCTTAAAAAAGTAAAGAACATGCACCGATCAACAATGCTTCATAATCGTTTAAGTAATATAGCAAGATTAACTATTGAATCAAAATTGTTAGAAACTATGAATTTTAGCGATGTGATATCTGAGTTTGCGGAAAAGAAAAGCAGAAAGAAATCACTTAACTTAATTCAAAAAAATAAATATAAAATCGTAACTTAATTAAACATCAGCGATAGCTTTTTCAAGAAAGTCTTTTTTTAATTCATTTTCGTTGTTGCCCACAAAAAGGGGCCTCGTACTTTAAAATAGCCCCGGGCCTTGAGAAGTCTTAATCCGCGACTGCCCAGTCAAGGCCTACGGTTGCGCAATAAATAGGCCTTTATTATAGAGCGCCATGCCAAAATACTAACGTTTATGCGACTTAAAACTCTGATAGATAATAGAATCAAAAACCTTTTTCGACGTTAGTGTAAATTGATTACCAGAAATATCACAAATTAAATGTTTACCTTGATTTTTAAAATACTATTTAACACAATTTTATTCAAAGTTATTGTCTGCCTAAACCAAAACTCTTAGTCAAGTTATTTACGCTCCATGCATAAATACCTCCCAGTGGGAACGTGACATAAAAAACGTCTTTTAAACGTTCAAAAGACGTCTTTTAAACGTCTTTCGAACGTTTTAAACGTTCAAAAGACGTCTTTTTTAGTCCGGTGCCCATTGAGCTATTAAGTTAGTTAATGTATTAACACTCCCTGAATGTTCAACCTACTTTTTTAGTTGATGTATGAACGCTGTATGTTCTACCTATTTAGTCAGTCAATATATGTAAAATCCGTGCATGTTCTTCTATTTAATAAGTCGATATGTGTGCACTACCTGCATTTTTTACCAATTTAAGTCAGTCGATGTGTGTACATTTCCTCTATGTTCTACCTACTTTATTAGTTGATGTATGTACACTTTAAAATATAACATAAAAGTATACACAAAAACATAAACTATCAAGAGGAATCGTTCTGCGTCGCCCGCAACATCAGCAATTTATATATCCACTGGACCACGCCCACAACATACACCCACAACATCAGCAATTTATATATCCAATGGACCACGCACAATTATTTACAAAATGTTGTAAATTATAAAATATACGTTAAGCAATTATTTAAACGAGTTATTAACGGGTCATCAATTTACAAACGTCGGAAAAGATTTTTTACCTAAAACTCTCGTGTTTGGGAAATATCCGGAAAACGAGTTTAATCGGATACTAACCTTTTCCCCAGCGCATTTAATTTTAAAAACAATTCGTCGAGACAGCGTTTTCAAGATATAACAACTTCCAGCAAATTTTATTCTTTATTTATTGTTCATCAAAAAAAATAAAAAATAAAAATATATATATATATATATATATATATATATATATATATATATATATATATATATATCTATAAATATAAAAAACAAAGAAAAAAAGTAAATAAATACTTCGAATAACACATTGCTAGTTACATATTTATAAAAATTGGTTAGAATGGAAGAATGGTTATCATTACCAGATGGAGTTAATAAGATTATACTTGCTGCTGGTCATGGCGATGTTCCTAGCTTTCCAGATGGAGCAAAAGTTTTATTTCATTATCGAGCATTCAGTGTCAACGATGACGGGGAACAAAAGATTTTGGATGATTCAAGAGCTGATAATGCACCATTTGAGTTACTACTCGGTAAGAAGTTTAAATTGGAAATTTGGGAAGCATTAATTAAAACAATGAGAATAAATGAAATTGCTGAATTTCATTGTGATATAAAGCATGTTTCTACTTACCCTGTTGTTTCTAAAAGCTTAAGAGATATGAAGAAAAAAGCTAATAAACACGACCATGATCACAATCATGAACCAGGACACCAATGTGGGTTTGCAGCACTTTCACAAGGTTTAGGGTATTCTGATTTAGATGAATACTACAAAGATCCAAAACCTTTAAAGTTTCAAATTGAATTGCTTAAAGTAGATCTTCCAGGCGAATATGAACAAGATGTTTGGTCTTTAACTCCTGAACAACAACTTCAACAAATACCTGTTTGGAAGGAAGAAGGAAACACATTTTTTCGGAAAGGTGAACTTGACAGTGCAAGCAATAAATATTCTCAAGCTCTTGGTTGTTTAGAAAAACTAATTTTAAGAGAAAAACCAGGTTCAGAAGAATGGATTGTGTTAGACAATATGAAAATTCCTTTACTTTTAAATTACTCTCAGTGTATGATTGCCAAAAAAGAATATTATAAAGCAATTGAACACTTAACTACTGTTATTGAGAAAGATAAAAATAACGTCAAGGCTCTCTTCAGAAGAGCACAAGCTTATCATGCTGTCTTCAATTTACGCGAATCACGTCAAGATTATGAGGCAGTGAAAAGACTTGATAGCTCATTATTAAATACTGTTGAAATTGAGTTGAAAAAAATTTCTTTAGATGAAAAAAATAAAGAAAAAGAAGACAGAGAAATCTTTAAAAAAGCATTTTCAAGTTGAAATTTTTAATTTTTTTAAAAAACAGTATCAGCCAATATTTAAAGTTATAATAAAATTTACATTTTAAACAGTATCAGCCAATATTTATAAAAAAAGTTATGTTTATAAATGTTTAGTTTTTATGTAAGCCTTAAATTATTTTAATAAATAGTATTCAATGTCCACTAGTATTAATTTTAATTTTTTTCTTTGATATATATGGTTAGAGTGGTTACTTAATTATTTTATACATTTTTAATATAAATTTTGTTGCAAATTTGGTTTAATGGTGTTAAAATGCTTTTTTTCTTTTTCTTTGAAATTGTATTATATTTTATGTTTGCATTGTACATGTTTTTATAAAGCTTTATTTTTCTTTACCAGATAAAAATACAAGATTAACTGTATAAATATAAATTAAAAATTAAAAACTACTTTTAAATTGTTTTTACAGATTTTTCAAGCTTCTGAAAACACATTTGTCAGTAAAGTATTTGGTTTGTACAGTTATCCAAGCACTTTAACCCAAACTAGGAAAAAAAATTAACAAAAGAAGGTTTCTTTTCAAGCACAAAATGTTTTTTTTAAATTAAAAGACTATTCTAATCTTATTTGAATATTTTTTAATCATTTTTTTCATTTACACTTTTTGAATACAATAGTCATCCTCAGTAAAATTCAAGTTAGAAACATTTGTTTAAAACAATATAAAATATGGTATATAATTGTAAAAGTAGAATACAAAAGTAGTCCTATAATTAGGTTGACCATTGTCCTGGTTTTAATTAGTTTGGCGCTGCGCTCTCCTGCATAAAAACCGGGACAATAGTCACCCTACCTAAAATGGATTTCAATTTTTCCTAACAAATGTCCAACTTAACCCACATGGTTAAGTTGGACATTTGTTAGGAAAAATTGAAATTTTTTTTTCGAACTAAAAGGTAGTTATTATTTAGACAGTTTGCTTGTTAAAATGATACTTATTGACAAAAACGCTTGGTTCATAAATATATATATATATATATATATATATATATATATATATATATATATATATATATATATATATATATATATATATATATATATTTGCTGCAATAGATATATTGCAATATGTTGTTTCAGGTGTTGCCTGCTTAAAAATGTATAACATTCTTTTTATTTTTAAAAAATCTTATAAGATTCAGTCAATTAAATTAATAAAATACTAAACTTTCAAGGTAAGTTAAAAAATGAAATTTTAAGATACAAATATCTATAAATATGTATACACCAGTTTTCATAAAATCATAGCCAAACCTTTCAAAAACAAAGATCAAAAAAAAAAAAAGAAAAGATTTCCAATATTTTGTTCTACAAAATATTGGAAATTAAACATATATATATATATATATATATATATATATATATATATATATATATATATATATATATATATATATATATATAAAATATATATATATATATAATATATATATATATATATATATATATATATATATATATATATATATATATATATATATATATATATATATGTTGTATAAATATTTTAAATAAAACTTTAATACCTATTTGTTATATATATATATATATATATATATATATATATATATATATATATATATATATATATATATATATATATATATATATATATATATATAAATGTAAAAGCATGAACAAGTTAAAAACAAACTTGATCTTTGATTTAAATTTCAAGTTAATCTAAGCTTGGTTTTTTGCATAAAATATTTTAGTGAAAAACTCAAAATAATAATTTTTTCCTTATTTAGGCTTATGTATTTTTAAATTAATTATGACTATTCAGGATGAAATCAAAAGCTTATTTTACTCATTATTGCGGGTATGGTTTTGGCTGATCAATTACATTCTTTGCAACAAAAGTAAACTTAATTATGATTCAAGTGCTGCTGTTTATAAGATTTGGTTTAGATACAAAGAGCAATCATCATGGGAGCAATCATCTGTCAATGATTTTTTTGGCGTGTTAGAAGGTTATTTTCATCCAAGTATAGTTCTATCTGATAATATTTCATTGTACTCCATTACTGAAAATGTAGCAGTTTTTGTTGATTGCGGGGACTTGGATGTTTTTCGTTCAAAGTATGGAGCATTTGTTTACAACACTCAGTACTTGCATTCTAAAAAATTTATCCTTCTTTCTATTGAATCATTAAACAAAATTGCATTGGAAATTCCTCTGCCTAAAATTCCTATTCTTCATGTAGCTAATCATGGTCGTTGTGGATCCACCATATTGGCACAGATATTTGAAACCATTCCTAATACATTGGTCATATCTGAAACTAATCCTTTTACAGATTTAGCAGAAATTTCACGCCAAGGTCGAGTTGATTTTCAATCCATGAAAAAGTTGTGCTTCAGTACAATTATGTGTACATTTAAACATGCTAACTCTCGAAAATCTGAATTGATTTTTCTTAAATGTCAAAATGTCGCTGTGTATATAACTGATTTAATGGCAGTTTGTGTCCCAAGTATTAAGCATGTATACATGTATCGACAACCAATAACATTTGTAAGATCCTATGAAAAGATTTTTGCTGTCAATAATCTGAAACCTGTATCAGCATTTTCAATAAAAAGATCTAGCGGTATTGGTCATAATCCAATTTTATTAGATTTTCCCGTTTACCCAAATTTTTTTGTTGAAAAATTAACTTCATTTTCAAGATTAAGTCTTATCTGGATAACTGGTGCTGCAACCTTCAAAAAATTGTTATGTAAAATTGAAATAAAATCTATTACATATGAGGATTTACTTACTGATGCAGATAATGTAGTTTCAAAACTATTAAAGTATGCTGGTATTCCAAATGAGGTTTTGCCTGATTCAGCTTCTGTTTTAAAGCAAGATTCTCAAGTTGGCACTCCCTGGACCAGTCGACATGTGGACAAAGAGATTTTAGAAAAAGCATACACTCCTATTACTGAAAAATTAAAGGCTGAAGTAGATACCTTGTGCAAAGATTTTGATGTTCCTTGTTTCTGGAATTTTACTGCTCTTCCAGAAAAATTGTAATTTTGTATTTATTATTTAGTATACAGTCTTAATAGATTTTTTTAAAACAATCTTATTTAAATTATTTTAGTATTGTCTTGCATGTAAGTATTTGTTTTTTCATTTAAGTTTTCCTAATGTTTATTTATATTTGTATGAGTTCTTAGAACTTAATAATTTACTTAGTGTTAAATTGTTTCAATTTGTTTTCTGGTCATTTAAAAAATTATATTTTTAACTCTTTTTAGTTTTACCATTAATATCATAGATCTTTGTTAGTGTAATACTGAAGGGTTTTATACTATTCAAAAAACTGTTTTATTTGGAAATAGTTTTCACTTTTCTTTATTATTTTTGGTGAAAAAATTTTATATAAAAATATATACACATGAAGTTTTAATGGATAGCAATAAGATAAGATAATTTTATGTATTATCGTTTATTTTTATTTACTTGCAAAAAAGTTTGACTTTCAATTGTAAGTGTGTAGAAGTTATATTTTTATAAATATGACACAGTGCTCCTCCTCCCCCCCTCCTCCCTCAATTTAAGAATGATAAAAACAGAATACTTTAAAGCCTTATGACTTTTTTCTTGAGACACTTGTTAGTGTATCATTTTTTAGAACTATTTTCTGGATTGTTTTCTTTAAAATGGTGATTTTTATAACTTGCAAAAAGTCTGAAAATTGCTAAAAAATGTCCAATTGAAGGTAACTGTAATATTTTTCTATTTATCAACAAGTCTTTACAGGTAAATTTTCTGATTTGCTACTATTGTCTGTAATAAATAGGCAGATTATAAGCACCTTGGTGCAGTTTAGAATTCAAACATGTCTAAAAATATAGTATATATTCACCTAAAAAGTCTAATTTTTAGTAATTTTGAGATGCTTGTTATTTTTTCTAAAACTTTGCATTAATCTAAGATTAACAGCATACAAGATAATTAAACTGAACTATCTGAAAATGCGAACATTTTGTTATATTTACACTTGTTATATTTTACCTTATTTTTCAATTATCAATGATTAATGCATTAATGAAAACCAGTGTTTCCCAAACCTGCCCACTCACCTACATGAAGGGTGCATTCTAACATCTAGTGCAATATCTGTCCGCTGTCTCTATGCTATCTTTCTAACTCAACTTCTTCTGACTTTCACTCTAACTTTGTTCTTCTCAAACTCACTTACTCTTGGTCAGCGATGCTGGTGGTGTTGCTATTTAGTTAGCTGAACTTGTCACCGCGAGCCCAGTTATGTGGCTTCTATATGGCAATTAGGCGGAGGAGGATAAATCACAATACCCATAATATATACAAAAAATGACTAAACATTTTTAACCGAATCATATTTGCCTCTAAAAATGATGTTTTTCAAATTAATAATCTGAATAAGTTTCCTTTTTCTAATTGTGTAATAGGTTCAATTAAAAAACTTTTTTCATAAAAAAGACTATGAGCTAATATATTAATTGTTGTAAAACAAATTTTGAAATTTTTGCTATAAAATTTTTTTTTTAAAAAATTTTATAGTGATATGTTAAAACAAGTCCTTACTAAATATGTTTCAAAATTATGGTTTTAGATTTTTGGATTTACATTTAAATTAATCTTGAGATTTCTTTCTATATATAAAACTGAAACAGCTGTTCCTGCTACTAAATTGAAGTTGCTCATATCATTATTTGACATAAATTTTGCTGAATGGGTATTAGTTAATGGGTATTAATTCAACAAAATAATGCTATTTTGTTGAATTTTTTTCTAGAAAGACAACAGATCTTAAATGTAATTCTGTTTGTGTCACCTGTTACAAAAACCTGGTAATTATTTCAAGTACCCAACAACATAAGTTATCTAATTGTATCCAATTAGTGACATTATTACTTCGTTACTCTTGAGTCCCTAATACAAGGAGGGGGGGGCGTTAATTGTTATTTGGAAAATTTTCCCACCCACCCCAAGCTTATTTAGACTTCCCTGTTTATTAATTTCTACTTGCTATTTAAAAAAAAAAAAAAAAAGTGAAAATCGGCCTTGAAAATTAAAAAATATTTATTACAGTCACTAATAAAAATATTTTTTTTGAGTGTAAACAGGCTTTAAAAATCACCAACCAAGTAAATCCCATTTTGGCAAAAATGAGCTTTTATTTCTCACCAAAGTATAAAACTTATTAAATCCTATTGAAGTTATTATAAAACAGCTATTAGAAAATGCTTATGTTGCAGCATAAAAAAATCTCCCCCTCTCTATTTATAAAATCTGGATTAAAGTTCCCACCCCTCCTTTTATCCCCCATCCCCTTGTATTAAGGACTCGAGAGTACATTAGCGTAGTACACTCGAGAGTACAATTATCAACTAATAATAAATTATAAAGTAAAAACCAAACCTAATAATGAAATTTGTTTGTAACAACTTTTCTCTTTTTTCTGTAAGAATCCTGGTTTATTTTTGCTATAGAATTCTTTAATACCCCTGATATATTATGGATGTCTTAAAAAACTGTTCAGTATTAATTTTGCAAAATATCAAGCGTTTTTGATTTTAAAATATAACATTAATTTTTAAATTATGTTTAAAGTTTCACATTTGAAAAATAATACAGTGCTCTAAATAGTTATTGCCCTTTTATTTGTTCCCCTATCCACTATAAAGATCAGATCAAGGAGGAGCAACTATCCTTTTTTTTTCAAGAAATGACTAGTACTTGGTTGCATCCCTCACAGGCCACTAGACAAGTTAGAGAAACACTTTTTTCAATAATGCATTCACGAATTGATAATTAAAAAATAGGATTATTTAAAAATGATTCATTTTTTAGTGTAAATATAAGTTAAAAGTGTTTGCATATTTATTTATAAGACTGTAGTTTCTAAACCGCTGTACTTAAAAGTCTGAACTTTCAAATTTAACCTAAATAACGCATTTAATATACATAATGCAGGTAAAGATATGTAAAAATCAGAACAATCAAATGCATTTTGTTTTTATATTGTTTTCTTTTTTATAATTATGTGATGATATATAGAAAGTAATTGTTTTTAAATTTCTAACTTTGTAGCAATTATATATTAAATTAATGTTATATTATTATGATTTATTTTTTCTTTAGTTATATTAATATATATCATATAAATTTTTAGTATTCTACATATAATATATATTCATTACAGTTAAAATGTAATCATGAACTTTTCAGAAACTTTTAAACAGTCAAGCTACTTATGCAAGTTTTCTCCAGATAACAACTACATTGTAAGAAATATTTTTGGTTCGTTTCTATACTAGATGTTACTCATTTATACACTTATATTAAAGTATATTATCTCTATAATATAGTATATTATCTCTATAATATAGCATATAATATATTTTACATGATTTTTTTTTAAATTATATTAAATGTATATTTTAAGAACATTTATCTTTTTGGGAAAATCACCAGTGTTGTGCCACAGGGGTCAGTAATTATACCACTTTTATTTGTGCTATTTATAAACGATTAGCCTGGAACCCTAAAAATGTAACTTAGCTGTATGCAGATGACACCAAAATATGAAATGAAATGCTTTTTTGTGCATCAGCACTAATTTTGCAATCTGATCTTTTAGCTTTTAAGTTGACTGAGGACTGGCTGGTGAAATTAAATATTTCTAAATGTATGGTCTTGCACCATGAACAAAATAAAAAAATATCAACACTATATCAATGAATAGTTTCAAATAAAAATATGAAATAAAACAATCAAGTAATAAAATGCATAGGTAAAGCCAATCAAATTTTGAGCAGGATTAAAAAATAGCTTGTTCATTTAAATATTTGAAAAATAGCTTGTTCATTTAGATATTTGACTGCTGAGATCACATTATGTTTCACGGTGCACAGGAAGATGCTCTGAGACCTTGCAACACATCCCCAGAAATTTTTTTGTTTATTATCAGAAGTCTCTTCCTTATTTCAAAAATGTAAAAAACAACTTTTTTCACTGAGGGCCTAGGGAGAAATCACGTATTTTAGGCGAGTGCCTAGTAATTTTGTTGTTCAAGATAGGTAACTAAGAGCTATTTTTTAAGTTCATAAATTAGAACAAAATTTATCAACAGATTTCAAGTTTCATCAAAAAATATCTTTTCGTTTAAGATTTATGTCCATAAGAAGTTCAAAATTCCACATATTTACCCCCTGAAATAACTTTGAATGGTCGTAACTTTTAAACTAGATATTGTTTTTATATGAAATTTAAAATTTGTTGATGAATTTTGATCTAGTTAAATAAAACACAAAAAAAAAAATTGAAAAATTCTATTAGGTAACCATGCACTAGGGATGGGGTATTTGGGGTCTTTATTTGTCTACAATAAACATGTGCAGAGTATCCTACCAATGGCAGCATCATTTAGAAGGCAATGCTTGCAATAAGTTGCTTAAAAACATAGACAGCTTTGAGATGTTTTTTCAGGAGTTCAGTCTTGGAGATCCCTTATCCAAATACATTAAGGTATTTAGAGATTTTGAAAAAGTAGCCCTTGGCTGTTTTGGAAAATTATTAAGCTCTACTCATGTTGTCTGCACGCTATAGAAATCTAGGGGCTACAATTCCTTTAAAAGTACACATAATTAAGCAACATATTTTCAAATTCTTCGATATGAAAGGTGCAGTCTTCGGTATGATAAATAAATTTTAAGTTTGACAAAAGGTTAAATTAATATTATTTAATTATAATAAAAGTAATTAAATACTTATCATTACAACAATACAACAGTTTATGCAAGTTTAAACTTGCATAAACTATGACGATTATTCATTAAATAGACTAAAACTTATTTTGTGCATTTTAAATTCTGTACACTAGGTTACTGAACCGAATAAGCTCTGGAATCCATTAACCAGGATTTCAATCAGTTTAGGTGAATGAGAAAAGTTAGAGAACACAGCCCAAACTATATTGAAGCGTTAAAAAACGCAGTTGTTGTTTAAAACTACAAACACTTTTAAAGTAGCTTTTAATTTGCAGGTAGCTTGTAAAAAGTATAATATTAACTTCTTATGAACAATTGTTTAATATAATTTTTTTTTAATAAATGGTATGATTATACATAAAATGCAAAATATAAATAATAATTTAACCAAATAAACCAGAAGTTTTTTTTTACAACCATAAAGTACTTGTAGTTAACCTTGTTGGACCTCTAATACCCCATCCCTAGTGTATGGTTTCCTAATAGAATTTTTTAAATTTTTTTTTGTGTTATATTAAACTAGATCAAAATTCATCAACAAATTTTAAATTTCATCAAAAAACAATATTTAGTTTAAAAGTTACGACCATTCAAAGTTATTTCAGGGGGTAAATACGTTGAATTTTGAACTTCTTATGGACAAAAATCATAAACGAAAAGATATTTTTTGATGAAACTTGAAATCTGTCAATAAATTTTGGTCTAATTTATGAACTTTAAAAATAGCTCTTAGTTACCTATCTTGAACAACAAAATTACTAGGCACTCGCCTAAAATACGTGATTTCTCCCTAGGCCCTCAGTGAAAAAAGTTGTTTTTTACATTTTTGAAATAAGGAAGAGACTTCAGATAATAAACAAAAAAAATTTCTGAGAATGTGTTCCAAGGTCTCAGAGCATATCCTATGCACCGTGGTATCTTTTGTGTGACAACTGTTAAATTTTGCAGTACCATTTTTGGCACCAACTTGCTAAAATCTCATAGTTTATTTTCTAGAATAATGGCAATAATCAAGCCGCACAATCTTAAACTTTTTCCAATAATTCAATTTCACTCTTGAATTGGTGCTCAAACTAGTACTGCAAACTCTAAAAGTGGTTGCACAATAGATTTAACTTTTTAAATTCTTCAGGTTCTCAACAACTTTTTAAATTTGCGGTTTAATTTTTAAAATTCTTTATAGTCTTAACAACTTGGAAATAAAGAAGTTAATTTTCAAGAAACTTTAACTCAACTCACTGCAAATATTTTTATAAAAATCATTTAGCAAGAATGTTGTTAAATTTTTTTTTTAAAAGAGCAGCCAATTTATGGAGTAGCTTGCTTAGCAATTTGGTTAGCACAGAATTAATTGACATTGAGCAGATCCTCATTTCTTAATGAGTAACAATCAAGCAAATTAGCTGTCATAGTGTGTTAATACTACTATTCACTGGCTCAAACCAGTTACTAATACTTATACTAGATATTATAATTTAAAGTTTTTAATTTTCAACACTTAGATTATTTAAAAAAAAAAGTTGAATAATATAAATATAAAACATTAAAAAATAGTTGAAGCTTTTTTTAAATGTAAAATAGTTACTTTGGTTACTATTCTGCTGTTTTTTTGTTTGTTTTCAAGGGTGGTGGTTGTTTATACTGCAACACAAAAAAAAAAAAAAATTAAAATTTATTTCAAAATACAATATTTTAAATTCATAGTTTGTTAAAATATTTTTATTTTACTTTAAAAATCAAGCACTTTATATCTGTTTTAAGATTAACATATTTTAGTTAAATAAATCACAATCAATACAGTCAAATAAATTGTATGAATTTATTAATTTTATATTTAATAAAATATTAGTTTTTCTTTATATTTATTAATTTTGATTAGATAAATTAATTTTGGCTAATTTGACAGGTGGCTCTGTGTTAAAACATCCATTTTTGAATCATGCAATGTTTAAAATATTTTCAGATTTTTACACAATTAGTTTATTTCAAAGAATACAAAGAGTTCAACTTATACATTATTTTGCTGTTAAATTATTATTACTTTTTTATAACTTGATTTTTTTAAAACAGGCTAATGCAACATCATATCGTCTTATCATTCGAGATGTGAAATCACTTCAAGTGAAAGCACATTTTTCTTGTCTAGACAATATCAATCATGTTGAGGTTTTTTTCGTTATTTTTTGTTAATAAGTTGCATGTATTTTAGTGTAAAACTGTTTTTTTTATTTGTTGCTTTTAATTCAATAGTGGGCTTCAGATTCCATGTATGTGTTGTGTGCTCTTTTCAAGCGAGGTTTTATTCAGGTTTGTTATTTATTTTTATTTTATTTCCGAATGATGTTCAGTTTTGCTTTACAGAAATTGAATTATATGTATATATATATATATATATATATATATATATATATATATATATATATATATATATATATATATATATATATATATATATATATATATATATATATATATATATATATATATATGTATGTATATATATAGAATAAAATAAATAGTTGCTGTTCCATCCCAAAACTTTTAGTTAATGTAGCGGCACTCTTTGCATGCTCTCCATTTTTAGTCAGTCAATGTATGTACTGAAGATCCTGGCAGAAACTATTTCAATATGATGCCAGTCTGCTTGCCAAAGTATGCATTTGTGTATATATATATATATATATATATATATATATATATATATATATATATATATATATATATATATATATATATATATATGTATGTATATATATATATATATATATATATATATATATATATATATATATATACACACTTACTAAAGCGTATTTTTATAAGCATTTGCTCACTTTTTTTGCTTACCTTAACCCATACGGCTTTTTTAGAAAAAGAAGAAAAAAAAAAGAAGAATGATGAATGAAACGATTGCTGCCCCATCCCAAACCCTCAGTCGATGTAGCAGCACTCCACTGCGAGTAAGTGTATATATATATATATACACTTTAAGTGAGTAAGTGTATATATATAAGTGTATATATATATAAATACTCTTTAGTAAGTGTATATATATATATACACTTTATATATATATATATACACTTTAGTAAGTGTATATATATATATATACACTTACTAAAGCGTGTTTTGATAAGCATTTGCTCACTTTTTCTGCTTACCTTAAGCTATACCGTTTTTTTCGAAAAAGAAGAAGAAAAAACGAAGAATGATGAATAAAACGATTGCCTCCCCATCCCAAACCCTCAGTCGATGTAGCAGCACTCCACTGCCAAGTCAGGCTATTTGCCAGTTGATGTATGTACTGAAGCCCCCAGCAACAGGCTATTTCAGTATGACATCAGATATTAGAAAAATCAATTGCAAAATAATTTTAAACCAATCCGAAAATCAAAAGATATTTAATTAAAATGGAAAAAAAGTATATAGTTAAAAATCATCCGAAATTAAAAAATTTTGTCTTAGGTGTCCTAGAAGTATGTGACACATGTAGTTAATCTTCAAAGAATCGTTTCTAAAGTATTTCCGAAGTATATGACACAAATTTTAAACTATCAAAAATTGAGTCTAAAGTGAAATTCTAGAAGTACATTAAGATAAACTATCATCAAAGAACTATGTCTGATGTAATCTAGAAGTGTTGAATGTATTTTAAATTTGAAGGTATAATGTAAGTTTTGGTTTTGAAACTTCATTATACCGGGACCTATTTTGAATATTCTAAATCATTATCAAATCGTCTGAGATTTTTGAAGTCCAATCTTATTTGATAAGTTTGATAAGTTTTATTGAACATTGTTAAAGAAAACTTATAAAGCTTAGATTTAAATATAACTACAAATTATCTAGTATTATGATAGATAAATAATTATATATATATATATATATATATATATATATATATATATATATATATATATATATATATATATATATATATATATATATATATATATATATATATATATATATATATAATTATTTATCTATCATAATACTAGATAATTTGTAGTTATATTTAAATATAATACTAGATAATTGGTAGTTATATTTAAAGTTTATTTTGTGTAAATTAACATGATTTAAGAATGTGAATTGCTTTGTTTTTTGCTTTGTTTCAAAACAATTATGTTTTAAAAAGGTTTGGTCATTAGAAAACCCTAGTTGGATTTGTAAGATTGACCACGGCTCGATTGGACTTGTAGCAGCTCAATGGGCACCTGATGCGCGACATATACTTGCAACTTCAGATTTCAAGGTACTTTAACTTAACCTTAAATATATGTATTTAATATAAATAAAGAATATATATTATTTTTAAAGATATGTATATTAGGGTGTCCCAAAAAACAACTTTTTTAAAAATAATCTGCTCTCACCATCTAAATGTGTTCTATCTAATACAAAAACACTAAGTTTAAATTTTTTTTCAATAAAAAATAGTTTAAAGGGTCCCTCAAGACCCTTGAATATTTAATGGGTCCCTAATATTTTCAAAAAAAAAGTTTTTAAACCTTGGTACTCAAATGAACCAAATTATATAAAAATTTCAAAAATAATGTTCATTTTGGAAAAAACGATACGTACTTAAACGATACTCTTTTTTTTTAACGAAATCGGCGATTTTTTTACAGAAAATTGTTTTTTGTTTAGGTAAATATTGTATATTTTAAGGAAAATATCGTTATGAATCGTTTTTTCCGAAATGAACATTATTTTCGAAATTTTTAAATAATTTCGGTTCATTTGAGTACCAGGTTGACATAATTTTTAAAAACTTTTTTTTTGAAAATATTAGGGTCCTATTAAATATTCCAGAGTCTTGAGGGACCCTTTAAATTATTTTTTATTGAAAAAAAAATTAAACTTAGTGTTTTTGTATTAGATAGAACACATTTAGGGGGTGAGAGCAGATTATTTTTAAAAAAGTTGTTTTTTGGGACACCCTAATGTATATACAGAAATGCATATGATAAATAATATTTATTTATGTCTCCCTGGAATAATGACTGAATGTAAGCTACAACTAAATCATTTTTCTAGGGAGGCATAATTAAAAATGTCTTTAAAATATTTATTTACTTTTCTCTAAAAACTGCAAAAAGATTATAAAGTTTGCAGAGATGATATAAGGTTTTAAATAAAAATGTTTTTATTTGTTTCTTATGCCAAATGGTCAACATAAATTTTAAATAAAAGTTTTAATATTAGTTAATATTCATTTGATATTTACTTATATTTTGTTAGGTTTAAAAATATTAGGAATAACAGATCCTGGCTCTCTAATTTCAGATATTTGAGTTATTTATTTATTTATATTATAGTTGCTATAATATTTGACATTTTATAATTATGAAAATGATATTTATATAAGAAAACATTGACATATCCAGAAGTTATTTGGGCTCACTGTTTTTTAAAAAAAATTCCTCATACATCTGGAAAAGTTATGTATTGCTCCACTGGTACATGAGTCCTTTGAACATTCTGTGGCCTTTTGTTTTTCAAGCAGGCGTCACATTTAATTACAATTCACACTATCATTTTGAGGAGGGAGTATGTTATATATATACTTTTATCCTTTTTTTTTATAAAATTCTTTTTACTTTAAATAATAGAAATAACTTGTGCTAAAATCTATATTTAAGTACTGGTATTTAGGCGCAAATTTGGGTGCCCAAACTGGTATACCTGTGTCAAAATCACTGTGGATATAGAAAACATTCTGTTGATAAATGTTTCTACTTTTTAGATTTATATTTTTTAAGCTTTGTCTGTTTGACAAAAACAAAAAAGTTAGTTTTTCTTGGTATTCATTCATTCTTTTGTTTTAATCAAAAAAAATTAGCCCAAACATTTTTTTTTATCATTCTCTTTAATATGAACACAACATGTTTTGGAGGTTTGGGATCCCCTTAAACATTCATTTTAAAAATTATTAAATTTATTTTTCTAGTCCACCAACCAAAATCAGTCTTGCTTGACTCATCATTCAGCAAATTTGCATCCTACTGTATCTGTTCCTCCGAGCTCTGAAAACTCTTTTCCATCTTTATGTTTTCCTGATTCATAAATCCTTCAATTTTTTAAGTCAATAGTTTCCTCGCTCTTTACAGGGTTCATGGCACTCAGGGAAAACCTGGATAACCATGGAAAAGTTTTTAAAGTTGAAAAAGTCAAGGAATACCTGGAAAAGTCTGGGAACTTTTTTTGAAATTCTTTTGAAATTTTTTTGAAAATCAGGGAAAACTAAAGGAATATTTTGCAAAGTTATTTGGCAAAGTTTGAGTCTTTATTATTATTGAAAGTTGCTCACTACAGTAGTTTTATAACTTTTATAGTATATAGTAACCATATGTTTATATAAATATTTAAATAATATAATACTTATTTAATTTAATGAGATCATATGGGCACTGAAATCTACAATGAGTTGCTACTCTAATAATACATCTGCAAATTTAAACAAAACTTTTAAAAAGATGTTTCCTAACAGCAAGGTAGCTGAAGATTTTACCATGAGCACCTCAAAAGTATCATATATTATTAACTATGGACTAGCGCCATACTTCAAGACACTCTTAAAAGAAGAAATTTCAAAGTCTGATTGTTACACTGTATCTTTTGAAGAGAGTTTGAACAACATAACCCAAACATGTCAGATAGACCTACTCAGACTACTCAAGCAAATCTGTTGCAGATTGTTGCATTAAATCCAGCCTAATATTTATAAGTTGGTTGAGTTTTGGGAAAAGTTACCATCTTCAAAGCAACCCAAATCGAAAAGCTTTTTAATTGTCAAAAAAGTTGTTAAAGATAAACTTATTCTTTTAAAAATTTAAAGTTTTTAGATTTGTTGTCAGCATACTATTGAGCCATATTTATTGGCATACTAAACTAACAAGCGATTTCTTTTATGTGTAGTGATTGAAAGATTGTTATGAAACTGAGCTTGTTTGTGAAACTTGAAGTTATTATAATTGGTCTATACCAGAAGTTAACTTTCATAAAAAAGATTATCTACTTAGGCAAAATCAAATTAAACTAGGGTTTGCAGCTGAAACAAGATTAGCTTCTTTACAAAAGAAAGATATAACAACAATTCCTGATATTCAAAGTTTCCAAAAAGATAGTACTAACATGTATTTACGACTAATTGAAAAGTTCATGGAGCAAACTCCATTAGAGTTTGTACACAGTTTTCAGGTTCTTAATCCTAATGCATTGTTAGCAATTAGCAATGACTCTAGAAGACCCTGAGAAGAAGTACAAATCTTTATTGACCCAATTTTATTAACTTGAATTATCTTTCACCAGTCTTCTGTTAAAGCTTTAAATCAATTTACATATTTCTTTAGAGAATCAAAAATTTTATCTTTTAACTATTTTAGGGTTTATCAAAACACCTTTCATGAGTTCAACAGAGATAAAGATAGTTTAGCTGACTTCTATTTTAAAAAGTACAACCTAAATAAATATAAAGAGTTGCCATTAACTGTCAAAATATTTTTGACACTGAGTCATGGATAAGCTTCAGTTGAGAGAGGCTTTAGTATAAATGCTACAGTTCTCAAACAAAGTTAGAATTAAAAAAAAACAATAACTGCAAGACGTTTAGTAAAAGATTATATGCTATCACATAATATTTAGCCACATAATAACGAAATTACAAACAAAATGATCATCAATGTAAAATCAGCCTATCAAAGATATAGAAGCTACATAAGTTCAATCACAGACACTAATAAAAAAGAAGCAAGTCAATTGGCAAGGAAAATTGTTAGCTATGAAATAAAAGTTGTTGAAACATTATGAAATCAACTAAAGAAAAACCAGTGAAATGTTGCAGTTTGATTTTATAAAATTTGTTGATGAAGCCGAGGAGAAGTTAAATCTAGGGTTAATTTCTAAAGCTAATGCTATGAAACGAAAAGAAAATAAGAAAAACAAAGAAATTAAGATTTCAGAGCTAGCACTTGGTTAAAAAAAGAAGTAAGGTTTAACTATGAATAAATTGCATAGAAAGATTATATGATAGATACAAACATTTTTAAATATATTTTTTATATTTGATGGATTTTTATGGATTTTTTTTGCTTATTAAACTACTTTTTATTACTTAAATATATTACTTGAATATATTCAAAGACTACGTTTATGAACGCTAATTAACTGAGTTAATTAGCGTTTATAAACATAATTAATTAAGGAGAAGTATCTAATTTCTTAAAAAATTTTCACCATCTTTTCACCATCCAAAGTCAGGGAAAAAGTATTTGAAAACAGGTGAAAATCAAGGAATAATCAGGGAAAACTCTGGGAAAATGGATTTCTAAAACTGCCATGAGCCCTGCTTTAGCTCTATTTTTTGTTTTCTTGTAACTCCCAACTTATTAGTAGTTGCATTGCAGCCTTGTTAGGTGTGAATTATATTAAAAAAAAATAGAACTATTCAAACTGGAAAAACAACAGAAACATTTAGATCTATATTTTTAAAATCGCTTTTTCAAAAAATTACTTAGAAGACTTGCAAATAGAGCTCTGATTAAGCATTCTGTTTAGTTCAGAAAGAAAAATAATTTTGTTATATTTTACAAAATCCTACATAATTACAGTAGACATATTATTAAGCTTACTTGAATTTTTGTTGATAGTATGCCTGTATATGTGTCAAACATGGTGAAATACTTTTTTTCTTGAAAAATTTTTTCACTCTGGTATTATTTATCATTATATTTTTACCACTTGTCCACATTTTTAATTGCTTATAGTATTTAAAAACAATCATGTAGCTCAAGTAGTTTATCATGTTATTTTTGACAAATTAAATCTAAATTTTATTTATATTTAATTTGTCAAAAATTAATTTCATTAAAAAAAACTATTATTCAACTTCTCACCCGTTTGTTGATATTAGAAGTATAAAATAACTTTGCAGTTACAGAGTACTAGGCAAAGAAAGCAAGTCAGCTTTGTAACAAAAAAGGATTGTTATCTATATCTCCATTTATTTGTCATGTATTTTATCAAAAAATTCTTTTAATATGTATAATGACTAACTCAAAATGATGTTTGTTAAAAAATGGTAAAAAGTTTGGTAAAAAATGCAAATATTTAAGTTGTTAAAAAAAAACTTTTTTGTGTAACAACCATCTTGCATCAATTAGAGCGAAGATGACTTATTATTGTTGACTGTTCACATCCTCATTATTTAAATGTTTTAACTTAATGATGTTTATAACTATTGATGGACATGTTAGTCATTTGAATATTAGTGTCATATGGGAAGCTGAAAAGTTAAACTTTTGCTTTGTTTTCCAGTACATCGCAGTCATGAACTTTAACCGTGTAATAATTTTAAGTAACTATATGTGTGATACAAAAAAAATTCAAAAATTTAAATAAGCTACTTAAATCTGCTTTATTAAGAATAAAGTGGTGCATGTAATGCAAGTGTTGCTAGGTGCAAGTAGTATTGTTCTTTCAATAAATTTTCAGTATCTATATCTCTCTGTACTACACCTCAAGTATAGTACATACTAATGTAGACAGGTGTCTGAACTTCACCTATTTGCTTGGAAACAAAAAGAGATGTAGAACAAATACTAATTATACAACAATACTTAGCAGAAAGATATATTTCAACCTGTTGTCACTTTAGAAGATAATCAAAAAATATTAGGAAAAGTTTAGGAGATAATATAGTTTAGGATGATAAGTAGTGGAGTGACATTGTAACTAAAATCAATCTGGGAGAAAATGATGTTTAAGTTAAGTTCCTCCCACCTAAAAGTCCCTTCAGTATATATTAACCAACTATGTCTACTTTTTATTGGCAATACATACATATTGAAAAGTTTACCTGTTCTACCAGCTTGATCTAGTTCCAAAAAAAAATTATATGTTGGAAAAAGTTAAAATGGAAGAAATGCAAACAAAATGGCAACAATATTGTGAACAAAAACAGTTCAAGTCAAAATAAATTTATTATTAATCATAAATATCATTATTACCATGAAAAAATCTGGTATATTTACTAACCAACATCTTGTATATTTTTTAGTAACTGCTAGCGCTTAAAATTATAATGTTTTTATTGTATATTTATTGTTAACTAGGGGCTATTCCAGGAAAAAAATTTGGGTGGCAGTACCCCTTCCATTCCTGAGAAATTTAGCGGAAATAATGCTGAATATTGGGTTTTTCTGCGAAAGAAACAATATTTGCCATAAAAAACTTAAAAAAAAAAAACAAAAAAAAAACTCCTCAATTTATAATTTGGACAGTGCCCAAATACAGTCGACGCTGTCGAAACAGTCTAGAATACCCCCTGATTGCATATGTATTGTATAAAATATTTTTATTTTAGCAATTTTTTGAATAAGTGGTATATTTTTTTTTTTTTTTTAATCATCTTTTTTAAACATCTTTTTTTAAACATCTTCGCTTTCAACAAGGCTGCAAGCAACTACTAATTAGAATTGGAAGTTACTTGAAGAAAAATGATGATGAAGATTGTAAAGCAAGATAACGATTGACAGACGTCTTAAAAGATTTAAAATTATATGAATCAGGATATCAAGATGAAGGAAGCGAATTCTAAAGAACTCCTGTTCGAGGAAGAAAAACTAGAGGAATAAGAGTTTTTGGACCACTTAAGAACAGTCACAGAAAAAGGATGAGATTTAGTTGAATGATGAGAAACACAAGAATAAATTTTAGATGGCACAAGAGGCGCTAGCTCTTTAGAGCAGTGCCCATTATAGTATTTGTAGAAAAGAGAAAGAAGCAACATTACGACAATGTGACAGAGGTTAAAGGTTGGCTGCAAGAGCAGGTCCAACTATGTTTACAATGCGTTTTTGCACCTTGTCTAAAAGAGAAAGGACATCATCAGAAGATCCGCCCCAGATATGGCAACAGTATTCCATACAAGGCCGGATTTGAGATTTATGGAGATAGAGAATAGAATCCAGAGTAAGAAAGTGACGAGCTCGATAAAGAGATGCAACCTTAGCTGATGATAATTTTGTAACGGATTTGATATATCGTTTTCAAGAAAGATTTAAAGTAAGAGTTAATCCTGGAAGATAAAGGGTAGATGACTCATCAAGTACATTTCCGTTCATTAAAATAGGAAGGTCTAAATTATTGTGATAACGGTTGGCTGAAAAAAGTTGAGTTTTATTTAAATTAAAGTTCACCAGCCACTGAGAGCCCCATGCTGTAGCAGAAGTGAGATCCTTTTCAAGCTCAAATACCCCCTCCAAGCAATCAGAGATTGTTATTTTCTTATCATGGCAAGAATAAATGGTAGTATCATCAGCGAATAATGCCACCTTAGATGTGAGAATATCTGAAAGATTGTTAATATAAATTAAAAAGAGTATACGGCCAATGATTGAACTTTGATCAAACGCTTTAGAAATGTCAAGAGCGATGGCCTTAACCTCTCCACCTTTATCTAATGCGCGATAAAACCTATCGGTTATTACTGATAGCAAATCAGCCGTAGAACGAGAAGATCGAAATCCATATTGATGATCAGAAAGTAGGTTATAAGATTCAAGATGAGAGATTAAGTTTTTGTTAATTAAAGATTCAAAAACCTTGCTTATGATAAGAAGAAGACAAATGGATCGGTAGTTAGACGAATCGGATCGCTCTTCAGAATTTTTAAAAGTAGGGATAACAGCTGGAACACAAGACTCTGAGAAGCACTTGTTGAATAGTTTTGAAAAGATAGACGGCAGCTCTGGAGAACACTTCTGCAAGACTATAACAGGTATGTTGTCTGGGCCACAAGTTGTAGAAGAGTCTTAGCAGGAAATCACTTCAGATACTGAAGCTGGAGTGATACGGATGTCAAGCAATGGATCAACCTGTTTGACGGCTATATCAGATAGAATGCAACTAGTGGAATCAAGAGATGATGTTGATGAAAAGTTCTTAGCAAACAATTAAGCTTTGTCTTTAAGTGAGGTGACAAAGTCTGAACCATACAAAAGAGGTGGAATTTAAAGATTCTCCAGAAGTCATGAGAGCCTTATTTTTGTGATGAAGTACGAGATTTCATGATTTGAGAGTAGCAGGCTTTAGCGTTTGACAAAACCTTTTTACTATGGTTTCTAGCAGTAATAAACAGGCGTCTGTTTTCTGGAGAATTGTTTGGCTGATTGATATGGAAGTTGTGGTTTCAATTGCCAGTTGCATCAGCACAATGTGAGGAAAACCTAGGAGGAGAGCGAGGCTTGACCTGGAATCGTCGAGAGGCAATAAAGGATTCCATGCCAGCCTGAATCCACAAAGTTATGTAAGAAGTACATGTTGACAGAATCAGCCTCTCTGAGAGCTACCACAGAGTTCAGTAAACCTAACTACCAGCCGGCCTCAGAACCATTAAACTGTGTTTTAGAGCTGTACCCTCATTAGGAGATAATAGAATGAGTTGCCTAGTCATCAAAACAGAGACAAGAAGATCCAGCATTTAACATCCTAAACTGGAAACAATATATTAAAAATAAATCTGTGCCAGCCTAATAGATGAAAAAGAGGTGCAAGGCTGGTCAACAGATAAAATCTGTTTACTTCTTAAGTCTTTGCCTAGGAAGTCAGCAGCCAGATGCATTTAATATCTGCCCAAGATTAGTGTTTTTATCAAGACACCATCTCTAGCCTTTACTCAACCAAGAGCCCTAAGGTAGGGGGTGTTTTATGTCAGAGTTGGCATCTCCTAGTCTTTGCCTAAAAAAGTGTATCCTACAAGGCAGCAGGGCATAAAGCAGATTGTAATGGGTTACATGTTACCAGTAGTAGGATAACCTGAACTGACAGGTTTTATGTGTTATTTCTTAAAAAATTTGTATGAAATCAACTATTCAACAGCCATATCTCTTTAGCTTAACTGGCTGTTAATCAAAGATTTAGCTTTAAAGTATTTTGATTAGGATCATAAAAATTACTGTTAAAATTACCATAAAAATTCTGTTTCTTTTATTTTTCTAGTCAAACTTTTGTGACAAGGAAAATTATAAGTAATTGTAAATTCAGGCTCTATATCTCAAAACAAGCTATATAAAAAAATATTTAGGGATGTTTTGAGATATTGGACCCCAATGTTGTGTTGTATAGTTTTTAGTTGTATTGTTTTCATATAGTATTGTTTTCATATAGTTGTATTGCTTGCATATTTTTAAGCATATTTCTGTAATAAGTTAGTGTTTTAAGTGTTTTTAAATATTGCTTTATAAAAATTGTTCTAGTTCTCATTTTTATTAAGAAAAATATTTTTCAAAATGTCATAAAATCTAGGATAAAAGGTTTCAGGAAAATAATCTTTAAGTAGTAGTAGTAGTAGTAGTAGTAGTAGTAGTAGTAGTAGTAGTAGTAGTAGTAGTAGTAGTTGTAGTTGTAGTTGTAGTTGTAGGTAGTAGTAGTAGTAGTTGTAGTTGTAGGTGTAGGTAGTAGTAGTAGTAGTAGTAGTAGTAGTAGTAGTAGTTGTAGTAGTAGTAGTAGTAGTAGTAGTAGTAGTAGTAGTAGTAGTAGTAGTAGTAGTAGTAGTAGTAGTAGTAGTAGTCGTAGTAGTAGTAGTAGTAGTAGTAGTAGTAGTAGTAGTAGTAATAAATGCTACATGTTGTTTAGTCATTTTACTATGATGTCCACTGGTTTTTAGCGTGCATTTAGTGTGAACATATACTTATTAACACAATAGAACTGGAATTGATGTGTTTTTTATGTAAGTTCCTAACTATTTTGACTAAAATTTTGTTTATGATTTTTTTTTATAATTAGGAATTAGGTCAAAAAATAAATAAAAAAAGAAGACATCATTTAATGGACTGGGTTTAATATAGAGTTATCTTTTTATAGAATCTATAGACACTTTTTTTTAATAGTATTTTAGACGAATTTTTTGATTTATTTTTTAATTAAACATAATTTTAAATCTAAAAGTTGCAAATTGCCACATGCAACTTAAATTTTTTTGAAAAAATGATAGTTGCCTATGATGCTAAAAACTATTTTAAATATTTACAGTTAGTGTTCCTGTTGCTTGTAGTAAATTTCTTGAATTTTATGGAAAATTATTTTTACTAAACAATTTATTAAAATAGTTATTTAAAAAGCTTTAATTTATTGATAATCCTAAATAATTACATTAAGGTGAATTTTTTGGTTTAAATATTTATCGGAACCATTTTAGACACTTTTTTAAGAGAGTATTTTTTTTTTTTATGTATATAGCTTCGTATATCAGTATGGTCATTAATTAGCAAATCGGTTTCATATATAAAGTATCCAAAACATGCAAACAAAGGTATGCTTATATTTCAGTTTTTCAAATAAAAGAAAAGAAAAACTCTCAAATTTCAAATTGATTTTTAAGAAATCTAGAAATAGTGTTCAGCATTGTAATCAACTATTTAGCAGCTTCGCTACTTATAATAAAAAGTTGCACAAACTGTCGCAAGTTTTAAATAAAACATATATATATTATATTTTTTTTGCATAATTTTGTTTTAAAAGTTGTGACAATAACCATTTTTAAAACATACCACAACCATTTTTTAAAACTTGTAACAATAACCATTTTTAAAATATATGACAACCAATTTTTAAAACATGTGACAGTTATTTTTTTTATCATAAATACCAAAGATTAGTGCAAGCAAAAAGTTGATTACAATAACTATTATATATATATATATATATATATATATATATATATATATATATATATATATATATATATATATATATATATATATATATATATATATATATATATATATATATATATATATATATAATAACATTACAACTAAGTTACAAAATAAAAACTAACTATTTTAAAAAATAATTTAAAAGTTATTTTTTAACGTGTTTTTATGTCGCGCTGTAAAATTACCGCATGACATATACAGCATATGTTATATATAGGCAAATGTGGAAGATGAATACTATCCTTAAGGCTCTTCTTTAGTGTACATAGAACCTATAGGCTCTATAGGCTATAGGCTCAGGACTAACTCAAGGGCTAACTTAACAAGGCTAAGTTGTAACTCCATTAATATGTGTGTCTTTATAACTATTGTGTTATTTTTGTTTATCTTTTAATATTTAATATGCCTTTTACTCAATGTCAAAAAAAAGTTACAAAATACAGTTTTAAAATAGCAGTTAACCAAAAAGAAGAAAAAAGAAAAAAAAGACTTACTAAGTAGGAGGTAAGAAAAAAAATGAAGGAGTAGGTAAAAAATAAGAGTTAAAATCTGTAATTGTTATTCAAGCAGTCTTTTAATTTACTGAACCTACTGAGAGAGCTGATGTTGTAAAAAAAACTTATGATGAAAACTAATGATATCCCAAGCCCTGAAAAAAGCATGGTCATACAGTATTAGTATTTTATTTTGATTTTTACCAGTGTGATGACATCCCCTCAACATTAAAAAAATAAAATATATCTCTGATATTGTTCAGGCTCTTGACATTAAGAAAATAAAATATATCTCTGATATTGTTCAGGCTCTTGACATTGCAGTAATAAGTGTTACAGCACTGGAAAACTGGGAAGACTGATCTGAAGAAATCTGTTAAAATTACATTTTTAAAAATATATTTATATTATACAAAGTATTAATGACAAATTAGATTTAAAATTATTTATTGTTGTCTCTGAGGAGGTTTAGTGAAAAATTAAATTACGATAGTTTGCTAGTTCACTTACTTCTATTTACATAATACAGATGACTATAAATCAAAATTGCTAATCTTGAAAATAACTAAATAAAAAATTGCTAAAACTGCATAGAAGTATATTTGCCTTAATTTCTACATGAGGATAACAGATTGTTGATGATTGGTATTCAATGTTGAAGCACCAAAAAAGTTAGAATAAACAAATAATACCTTCTACAATCAGTGTGCCTGTTTCAAGTTGAGTTTTTGTGGTTGCAATCTTTATGGAGAAAATTTTCTCTCCCTCAACCCATGTAATAATATCACGTTTGGATATCTTACAGATATATAAACATTTCATTGAAAATAAAATATAAAATATTCTTATCAATGCAATCAAAATGTTTTTGTACCGTAAAACCAGGTGAATACAAATAGTCAGGTGAGAGTAAGAATTTTACACACTGAGCAACCTAGCCACCTTAATTTTTTGGGCATAAAAAGTTAAGGTAAACTCAAAAGGAATTTTCTATTCATCTTGATTTAAGGTATTTTTTTGACAAAATGTTATTTATAAATTAAGAATTTTGCTGTTTTTAATTTAAAATTAATGTGCACTATGTTTAAAATTATATGTTTTATGTATTAGCTAAAAAATTATATCTTACACTGCATATCCATATGAATTTAATGGCTACTTCTGGAGTACTACATTTCAGTTTTTCCCCTTACCACAGAAGCAAGCATAAAAGCTTGGAAGCATAAAATGCTTTCTAATCTAAAACAAACATGTAAACCATAAAAAAATCTAAAAACACTAAATATACAAAGTATGCTCATACCATGCACGAAATTTAATATCTATTTAAATAAAATAATCCAGACCATTTTTAGATGCCATTATAGCCACACATTTGATGTAAACACTGTTTTACAGTAATACATGTTTTATTATTGGGTCTGAAATGGCCTGGATATGAAAGTAACGGTTACTGTTTAAAATTGCAGCAGCACAATGTTTTTATTACCTTGACAAAATCAGCTCAAGCGCTCTTGTCTTTTGATATTTTTTTGTAGAACACACCAATCTTTTTGTAGGTAGAAAAAAAAAACAATGCAAATCTGCCTGTAATATTCCAAAATAATTGATAAATTCTATGCAAACATCAGTTTCACAATCCAATCAAATTTAGTGAGTTCCCTATACATGGTAAAAACTTTGCTCGGCTATTTTTTTCTAAAATAATTTTCTGCATCCCTTTGTACTTTACACTCATGTTAGAAGCATTATTGTATGATTGAGATTTGCAGTCTCAAAAGTTTAATGTAGCTTTATTTACTAAAAAAGTGGCATCAACTAAATTTGCGCTAGTGTCATCCTCAATATTAATAAAAGATAAAAATTTTTTTAAAAGGCTATATTGAATTAATATATCTTAAAACTATAGAAAGTTGATCTGTGTGCAATACATTAGGGGTGGAATCAACAGAAATGGATTGGTATGAGGTTATGCCAGAACCAACATGATCATACTTCTTAATATGTTCTTTTAGGAAAAGGTCAAATTGGGGTATCAGTTCTAGAAGACCAATAAAATTTCTATTACCCTAAATGCCAAACCATTTGTTTGAACCACTTAATGTAATTTTTTCAAATCTTGATCTAAACTGTTGGCCAATTGATATCTTTCTTAATACCGATAAATAGTGATATGACTCGTGTTTAGTAACAGTTGATTCCTTTCACAAGAAAGAACTGATTTTTAATAAAAATTAATTAATTCAAACATGAAAAAAGATGATTTTTGGGAAAGAATGTGTTGGAGGAGATAAGTAAAGTTGAAGTAAATACATTTTTTGAATAAGTTGAAAAGGAGTGCATCCATAAATGCAAAGGAGTCATCCATAAAGTAGGCATCCTTTTGTCAAATATTATCATGAATTTCCTTCCTTTTGTCACACACTGACAAAAGAAGAGAGGTTCTAATAATGTGATATCATAAAATTTTTATCTATTTGGCTATTTATTGCTAATAATTGGTATTTATTAATTTTGGTATTTCTGCATTGACTAAACTTCGTTAGCCAATATTTCTAAAATGTACTGCTACTGTTCATCTGCCTGCTTTATTTTTATAAGCAGTTGATCGGTTTTCATAAGTTGCCGGTAGGGCCAGTTTCATAATTTGCCGGTAAAGCCAGCACATTTGAAAGACATAAGAAAGTTATTTGATATACTGCCATCCATCACTTGGCAAGTTAATTGTTTTTGAAAAAGACCAAATTTCATTTTGAAATTACAAATATCAATTTTTTGTGTTAGTTTATTTATTTGACTTAAGTAACACAAATCGTCATCATGCGTAAAATAATGCTAAGATAAAGACTAGTTCAAAAAAGCTGTAATGAAAACAATACAAAGATGACATCAAATTAATCAGATCAAATAAGTTACCAAATGTTTCCCGAGACTTATAATTATTCTAGCGAATTAATCAAAGGGTTTTTGCCTTACAAAAATCTATGAAGTATTTATTTTGTTGTTTTAAATAGATTTATTTTGTTGTTTTAAATAGATTTATTTATAATGTTTTAAATAGATTTATTTATAATGTTTTAAACAGATTTATTTATAATGTTTTAAATAGATTTATTTATAATGACTTTAAATGCAGCATGAGAGTCTTTTTGAAAATATGTCAAAATTTTTATTGTAAAAAAACCTTAGTAAAAAAACCATTATAATTGTAAATCATTAAAAAAAAAGTTCTTTTTCTCCTTTTTCAAAAAAAAAAATCTTTTTCTGGCAAAAAAGCACTCTGGTTGACTGACATTCTGGACTAATGGACTAATTCTGGAGAAATTTATAATAGTCAACAATTGAAAAGAAGTCAATCAAAAGAAATTCTTAGTTTTGGTGTAAATCAAATAAACTGTTGGTTGTGAATTTAAAGATATGAATTTTTAATTCAGAAAAAGTATAAAAGATTCTCAAATCCAAGAGAAAAAATCTAAACTTTTTAACCAATATTGTATTGCATAATCATGGTCATTAATGGTGAAAAGTGCTTTTGTTTTACAGGTGATAACATGCCTGCGTATTCTGAATACTACACAAGCAACAAAAATCTTGCCCAGAAAGTGTCTTTTACGTAGAAATTTGTCTCATGCAAAAAGTTAGGACAACTTTCTGCTTAAGGGACAAATTTCTACATAATTTCTACACCCTTATGTAGAAAGTCATCCCTTATGTAGAAAATGATAAGTTTCTGAAAAAATTATTATGTGAATAGTTTTATCTGATGTTCAAGTTGTTGTTTGTACTTTCAAAGCTTTGGTACATCAATCTAAATTAAACTATTTATTTTGGCATGATTTTGTTAGTCTTCGTTATTCTGAAGATTCTCTAAATTGGATGGATGAATATTATTTCATCAAATATTTAATTGTTATCAAATATTTAATTGTTAATATGTTGTAGTTTTTATTTTACATATTCTTTATTTTTTAAACTTTCTAATTATTTATAGTTGGTCATTAAAACTTGACTAATTTTTTTTTTTAATTTTTATTTCTTTACAATAGTTTTTGCTTGAAACAAATTTAAATTATTTGAAAAAAATTTAAATATTTTAAAAATTCATTTCAAAAAGTATAAGATTCAAATTATAAACGCCTGGAATTTAAAAATTTGATTATTGTTATAAAAAAAGGTAAAAATACTAATAATCAATACTCAGTTGTTAATTGATACTTTTTGCTATGCTAGTTTTCATAACATTCAAAATTAATTCAAAATTAGTATAACATTTCAATTCAATTCAAAATTAGTATAAATAATAATAGCATTTTGTTGGTTCAATTTTTTGTTTTGTTTTTAAATACTTAAGGGTATCATTAAAAAAATGATAAAATAAATTAAGCAAGGTGTGAAAAACTATTAGAGAACAATTAGAGCAAGATATGAAATTAAGAGAATAAAAAATTTATGAGTAACTTTTATTTTGTTAATGTTCAAAGTACTACCCTTAATCTATACATAGTTGCATTTGTTCTTTATACTAAATGGACATTCTAAAGACACTTTTTCTTGATTATTACACTAACTCAATTATACCAGATCATATTCTGTAATCTGGAAGATTGAGATATACAAGATTAGAATCTTTGTAGTCTGGAACATTTACACTGGTGCCAGAAGTGAATAGTACAATTAACGGTTAATTATTGCTATACAACTGTATTCATATAATTTAGGATGACTTGCAATTTGAGGTTTTATGTTGTATTTTTATTTTTTTTGGTTTAATGTCTGTTAAAGTGTTACATGTTACATCGTTAATATGGAAATGTTTTATTTAGTCAGTTTATCTCCCGACTAAAAAAAGTCTTAATTCTTTATTTAGTTTTCTCTTCAATTGCATTACTGAATGTTATATTTTCATCATTTGCATTACTGAATGTTATGTTTTTATTTAAGGACTAGAATTTTCAAAAAATGGAAAGTATTTGGCTGTTGCCGAGCGTCGTAATTTTAAAGATTTTATTAGTATATTTGTTTGTGATACATGGGAGATGATTCAAGTTTGTTTGTTTTTGTTTCAAATAAGAAATTTATAATTTTTAATTATTTCAAAATAATTTCAAAATCAAATAGATAATTTAATAAATATTTTTTTAGCATTTTGAAACTGATACAAAAGACTTATTTGATTTATCATGGTCACCTAACAATTGTATGATAGCAGTTTGGGATACGAAGATAGAGGTAGAAAGAAATTTTTTTTTGTCTCAGTTATTCAGCCCATTATATTATAATCATGGTTTTTGGTATTGCATTGATTCACACTCATTCTATTAACTTGGTTCTCTTTTAAGTTAATTCTCTGATTTAGTACAAGGTTGTAATCTACTCTTTGGACGGTCGTTTGATTACATCTTATTCCGCTTATGATTGCATGTTAGGAATTAAATCTGTAGCATGGACACCTTCAAATCAATTTTTAGCTATTGGAAGTTATGACCAATCTGTGAGTCTCAATTATCAAGTTACATAAAATTTTAATTGGTTAAAACTAAAAAAAAATTTAAAAATCAATTACTTAAATGCTTTAAAATACAAACTACAATTTCTACAAGCAGATTATTTTGCTCTAGGTACGTTTATTGAATAACATAACGTGGAAGCCAATAACAGAGTTAAAACATGTTTCTAAAATCAACAACGGAAATGTTGTAAGTGTTTTTATTTACATTTTTTTTTATTGTACACATATCTTGTTCTTATAATTTTCTTTTTCTTTTATGCTTAACATGAAAGAAAACTAGAGTACATAAATTATATTGGTAGGTGCACCTTTTGGACTTTTGGACCAATTTTGACCAGTGTTTAGATTTGTTAAATTTTTACCAGATTTTAGATTTTACTAATTTTGGCTTTTTAAATTTTTTTTTAGACTTGACTAATTTAATTCAAAGTAAAAAATATTTTTATCTTTTAAATCCAAGTATATTACCCAAGTGAAAGTCCAAGAGTTTTTATTTCTCTAGTTAAAGTGGTGTAGTGGTAGAGCGCTAGCTTCATAAGCGAGAAGTTCCAAGTTTGATCCCCACCCATGTTCCTGGTAGTATGGCGCTCAACTTGTTTCTCTGCGTAGCAGCCTTATTTATCAAAGGTTTGTGTTTCAGAGTTATAAAGTTGAGAGAGGGTTGTAATTGCCTCTTCAACTGTAATGGCCTTCATGTCCTTGGGGAGGTGAATTGGCTTTGGGAAAGTGAAACATTAAAATAATTTTAATTTAAAAGTAGATAACTGATAGTTGAAAAAAAATCTTTGAATGGTTTTTCTTTTATCAGTAAGATTTTGTTTAAAAATAGCTTGATCATTTTTAAACAAAAGATTGTTGATTTGTTTATTTTGAAGCAGGTCTTGATAAGTAAAATGATAAGGACTGTTTCCCTTAGGGATGCCTCCTTCATCATAATGATGACAAATCCCATTCATTCTGCGCTAGCATGCAAGTTTTAATGTCTTCTTTTGATGTGGCATAAAGAAGATGCATAGAGTATGCACCTTCTTTTTATTGATTAAATGCCCAGATTTAAAGCAACTTCAGCCTAAAAATACAATTTTTGTATTTTTAGATCTAAAGGATAGTTTGTACGCAAATAAACCATGCGTTGTTTGCTTTGCATAAACTATGCATTATTTGCTGAAAACACAAAATTGTTTTGATATATTTTTTCTGTAGTAAGGCTTTTTTTTATTATTACCTTTTTATTATTTTACTACTTGTATTTTTATAGATTGTTTACCAAGAGCAGGAGCGGAAAAACCTAAAATTGCCATGGGAGTCAGGATCTGATCATCATTTTGGCTGTAGTCAATGTAATTTTAAAAATTGATTACTTATATTAAAAATTTTTAAAGTAAATTGGCATTTCTAATTTGACCTGGGACTTTTGCAAATGTCATAGATCTCTTAACAAATCATTAGATTGATTATTAGTTTTTGAAGCAAAATCATAAAATTTCATCAAAATTTTGCTGTTTTTGTAAATTATTTTTAAGTTCTAATTCAGATGGTCATTAAATAATAAGTTTTTTGTGTGTGTGTGTTTTTAATAACAAATTTACTTTCAAAAAGACTGCAAGTAACTACTGTCTAAGTGGGTGTTACCAACCACTGTTTGTTTGGGTGTTACTAACCACTGAAAACACCATATCTGTAGTATCTGTAGAAAAGTATCTGTATCTGTAGTAAACCAGGATCTGTAGTATTTGTAGAGAATGCAAGATTACAAAAATAGAACAGAGATACGTAAAAGGAGAAAAAGAAATTAAAGAGGTATCAAAAACAGCAGCTAAAGCAAGTTCTAATGAAAAAGGTTAATTTTACTGTTGGACATTCAAATCACTACAGCTCCCCTTGCTGAGTTCAATTCTCTCTAAAACTTCACAACAACTTGTGATTCAGAAAACAAACTTGTCATTGCAGAAAAGTGCAATGACAAGTTTGTTCTCTTTATTGCTATCTAAACTATGAAAAAAGTGCTGAGTTTTGTTTTTCTGCCTGATAGAAAATGGCATCTGTGATTCCATCAATGGAAAACAGCATCAGTGATTATTTTTTTTTTAAACTCTGAAGATTGCTCAGACCTCTTAAACTATTGGCCAATCTTTTTAATACTATTAGTTAAGTCTTTGAATTTTTAATTATAAAACTAGCTGGTATGACCCGTACGATACGGGTCGTGCCAAGTCTAATCCACACCCGACAATTTCTAAACTTGTTCCTTAGTCTTTATACTTTAATTCATTTAGTAAACGGCAAAAAATAAATCAATTTAAAGTTCTGGTAGATCTAAAATACGAATTTTAATTGCAATTACTATTAAAGTTTGCATTTTACCACCTACCAGATGGTAAAATGCGAACTCTTAAGAAAATTAAATCGAATTTTAATTGCTCGTTAAATTATAATTAATTTAAAAGAAAAGTCAAATTTAATTAAAATATATCGAATTCCAATATATTTAATTTAAAAAATCGATGGAAATGTTTTTAATAACATGACTGTTGTGGTCATTAAAATGTTTTAATTCGCTAAAAAGTACAGTTTGCATTTTACTGACTACCTACAGTTCTTCATTTCTAATTTACTGTTCTTTAGAACTAATTAGTATTTTTACTGATTACATTATTACTTATTTACTTTAATATTTTCTATATAATATAAGTATTTTTAGCATTTAACAGAGTTGCGTGACACTTAGGCTATGATAATATTTTAATTATCTCATAAGGATTTATTTAAAAAGCAAATTTGAACATTAAAAATGGACTTAAGAGACCTAGTTATTTCAAATAAGTTCAGATATAAGTTATATCTGTTTGATATATTATATAAAAGCCTTCCCAGAAGGCACGGACGTAAAAAAGACCTTTAAAACGTCTTTTTATGTCCTTAAACTTAAGTAAACAGCAAAAAATAAGTCAATTTGAAGTTATTGGTAAACAATTGACTTAATATACTTTAGAAACTGTACTTATTTACTTAATGTACTCCAATAATTTATACATAAAAGGATCTTTATCAAGATTTATTTGAAAAACAAATTTGGACATTAGAAAACGGGCCTACGAGACTATTTTAAATAAGTTAGCTTTATCAGTTTGATACTTTTTATAAAAACTGTTAAGAAATTCATTCAATTAAGCTGTTTTTATATCCGACGTTATTAAACATGTTGTTTGTGCTAATCAATACTTAATGCAAATGGAAACTTCAAGTACAAAATACGATTTTAAGTATAAATGGTTTCTATTCATATATATAATAAAAAGCAACAAAAATAAAAAAAACTATGCAAAAATGATCAATACATCCATTTGAAACAATAAATCCAAAAATAAAAAAATATAGATATTTACTTAAGAAACAAAAAACATATTTTTCTTGAGATAAAATAAAAATATAAACTTTAAAAAAAAATTACAAAAAAAATATTATATTTAACAAAAAGTAACAAAAATACTTAAAAAAATACTTAAAAAAATTTAAATTGAAACATCGTTTCATTATTATTAGGCTTTAGGTAAGCCATAATCAAGTCAGCCATAAGAAAAGGAACTCGACCTTAAAATGGGACAAAATTATTTTAAACATAATACACATTAATTACAAATTAACGTGTCATGCAATCAATTGATTTTTTTTTAAACTCAAAAATGCTAATAAGTGGATAAGAAACTTACTTTTTATTTTTCCATAACCCTGACAGATCAACACGAATATGAGCTAAGCCTATTAGCATAAAACATCACAACAATTAATTAAATAACAGAACATGTTCAAGTAAACTCTAGATAACCCACACCTTTAAAGGACAAAGAAATTAGTTTAGTTTAAAGAAAATTAGAGGTATTGGGAGTATAATATATAAAAAAAAGCTTAAGTGGAATTTCAAAATTAGTTAATATTGTTGAGGGTTGAGTTATCCTGAGTTTATTGAACATATTTAAGCTACTAACTGCACACACTTATAAAAACATACATAAACATTTAAAAACATAAATCTTTTACTTTATATAACACATATATATTAACATATAGGAAATAACACATTATAATCTCACAGGAAATTGACAACATTTAAGAGTAAAAGGTAAATTTGAATCAGATTGTGTTAACTGAACTCGAGGAACAAATACCCTCTTGCCAACTGAAACACCTGTTTGAACTTGCCCATCAATGTAATTATTTTGAAGAGCACACACCATCAATCAGGTACCATTGCAAAGTTTAGCTTTAAGATATAAATTTCGAAGTAACATTATAACAGTACCGATTTTTAGTTTTAGGCATTGAACAGGCAGTCCTGATGGAGTAAGACTGTTTAAAAACTCAACAGGAAAATTATTGATTTCATTAAGATCATCTGTTTCAATAGTATCTGCAAATAAACTTTTACATCGCCTGGTTAACGGTCCAAAACTTCTTCATTTATTGCTAATGAATCTACATTATTGGGTGTCAAAATGGCATGTTTTGCATAATCATCTTCTTCTGCAACTCCAAAAATATTGTCTACTATAGATTCATTTGCTTCACCCAAGCACTGCTTAGGAATTTCAATGCACTTGCGAAAGGAACCATCTGGTAATGTTCCACTACATTAATGATAATGTTCCACTACCAAGTTTTAAAAGAGAATTCATTGAGAGAATTCCATTTCTTCGGCCCGAACCCTCATATTTTCTGTAAATGAAAAGCGTTGAAAATATTGCAAATGTTGAGAACATTTTATACAGCCTTTAACAATATCTGCTGGTTGCCTTCTCTTTACAACCGGAAGTATTTGCAGGCTTCAACATTTATGTGCACTTGATATTCTTTAGAAAGCTTGATTGCTTTTAATATCTCAATAACCTGCTCATGACTTACAACTTTGCCTAAGACTCCATGCTTAAAAATATCTTCTAAGAAAAATTTAAGTTTCATTTTAAATACCCGAAAAACTAAATCAGGTCTGTTTGCAGTTTGGCCAGGGTTCAAATTTTCTACTATTTCTCTCCATTTTGGATTGCAGATAAAAGTAATGAATAGATCTGGTTTACCATATTTCTTTATGACTGCTATTGCATCTTCAAAGTTTTCTTTTAGTGCTCTTGGAATACCAGCATATGAAGAAGGTAACATAACAACGCGGCCTGGTCTTACATTAAGATCATTAGTACAATTAATTACATATTCATGCAATGCATTATATTGTTCACTTCTAAGTTTGTTTTGATTATTTCTAATAAAAGCAAGGCGCTGTCCCTTAACTTTGACATATGCATTAACAACATATTGCTGAAAAGGTTTCTTACCATAGAATATAGGACTAAAAGTTTGTCTAACCGCAAGCCTATAATTATAATAGAGACAAAGTAACATGGTTTCTAACACAGGTTGTGCGGTCAGGGTTACTTCAGTTGATTGTGCCATCCAGCATTACCTCTCGGGAAAAATATTGGATATACCATAGGATCTAAATTTGCAAACATAGACAAAATTGTTTTTAAAGGCTGACCTGACCGAGGGTATATAACAATTTACCTGGATGCAGGTGGAGCACCATCATCTCCCACAAACACAATAGCGACCTCCTTATGGGAAGGAAGATTGTATCAACGTCTATCATGACCTTCAAGCAAAGACATTCTTACAACAGAAGTTGGTCTTATTTCTAAAGCTGCTCGGCAGATTTTTTCATCCTCTACTTCTGCCATGTTTTTTAATGCAAAAGCAAATGGGTTTTCTTGATTAATTAATGTTTGCAAAAGTTGCATTAACTCATGTATACAACCATCATTACCAGGTTGCTCCATTCTGAATGACACTGCTGCATTAGGATCATAGATATATAACTGACAATATTTGGGAAAATTCTGCAGGTCTCAAATTTCCAACACAATACCAAAATTTGTCCACAGACCCTAAAACAGAAAGGGCTATTATTTGAGGGAGGAGCTAATTCGGCAGTGAAGGAGGCAAAAGATAAAGAGAAATTATAAAACCTTATGTGTTTAAAAATTTTTTGATTTACAGCATGATCAACATGGTGTTCTGTCATCAGTCAACATTGGTGGATATAGAAAAAGAGGAGCTAATACAACTTTTCCTGAATGACGGCACAAAAAATGAGTTTCATTTAAAAATTTCTCCACACTACAATACTGACAATTATGGTTGAATTCTCCACGGTAATTACTCTCTGTAGCAATATTATTTCTTGCTATACTATGCATATTATACCTATTGAGTTCTTGCATAGCCTGATTTATTTCATTTTGATTAGAATTTATTTCAACTCGCCTGGACTCACCTCTTTTATTCCGACTGCGGTTTATCTCAGCTCGTCTAGCCTGCCTTCTTTCATTTTGACGAAGTCTAATAATTTCATTTCTTAAATTAGATATAATCATGATATAATCATGCATCAAAGGTGTGTAAAAATGATGCTTAATATAATAAAAAGTTGAGTTTTCTTTTTTAAACTAATCTAAAATAAAGTGTAAGCAAATAATATAGAGCATAATATAATAATCTTTTATATTCTACCATATATAGCAATGTGTTAAGATAACGTACTTTTATTAAAAGGTTAAACTAAAGTTATAGATAAATTGACAAAATCTTTTAAACTGAGTATTGTTACATATTTAAGTTAGTTGTTATTAATTATTGACAAAATATTATTAGTATTTAATCATTAAAAAACAAAAGTAAAGTAATTTAAAAAACAGATTTTTTACATTTAAGAACTCATAAATAAAGCAAATTAAAAATAATAAGGCCTGTCTGCTCAGCTAGTACTATATCGATAAAATGTAATCTATAAGTAATAAAACTATAAGGATAAAATGCAATCATTCATCATAAAAACCTTTTCATTACTTTGAAACGCATTTAATGCAAGATTTGCAATAAATAAGTAAATACAAAACTAATAAAAGAAAACCTCTATAAACAATCATATATTTGCTTTAAGTGAAGAAACTTGGAAATATTGAAACTTGTTTAACTCTTTTAATTTTTTTCAGATATCTAATATTCTAAAGAAAAAAAGTCAATTATATATATTCTATACATATAATATATGTATAGACACTTTGTTTTATATATTTTATTGTATATATGTCATATATATATATATATATATATATATATATATATATATATATATATATATATATATATATATATATATATATATATATATATATAAAGTATATATCTTTTAAACAAATTTACTCAAAAAGTAACAGTACAAAAATTATTTAATGAAGTATAATATCTGTTCAATAAAAGTTACTTAAAATTATAAAAATAAAGAAAATTATTATAGATATTGAAAAACTATATATCTTTCAACATTTCTTATAAACACATTACTTAACTACCCTACCTAACTGGCGTGGACAACAATCTTGCTCTCAACAAAGTCACATTATAGCAAAGTACACCACTTGGCTAGCAAAATCAACACTCTTGCTGTAAACTAAGCCAAGTCACAACAATTTTAAAAGATATTTACAAACACATAAACAATATTTACACACTTACAAAATATAAACCCATATAACCTAAACGCATAAACATAAATAACACATAAATATAAATTAATTTATATAAAAATATATAAATCAAGAAAAATATATAATTTAGAAACTTTACAAATACAACCTTATTTTTGTTTAATGACATACCTTGTATAATAAATGTTTAACAACTTGGAAAAACAAACGATCTGGTTTTTTATATAAAAGTAAACAGATTTTTTTTAACTTCTTTAAAGGAAAGGTATTTAATGTTGTTCTTTCTTGTTCTTTCTAACATGTAACTGTGTGAGGTGCAAGATATATATATATATATATATATATATATATATATATATATATATATATATATATATATATATATATATATATATATATATATATATATATAACACACAACTTTATCAAGAGTTTGACCTCTTGAAAAGAGCATCGTCTTTTAGAGTCACCATCGTCTTTTAATTAAAAAATTAAAGTTATTACAAATTATTACTTGATACTAATTAATTTGATGAAGCAAAGTTTTTGATCTTATTACTGATTAAGCAGATATTAACAGATTCAAGAGTACCTCATCGCATGGTCAAAAAGACAATTATCTAAAAGGCCAAGCATGCTCATAAAACTCTGTGTAAAAACGCGCATGAATGGTGAGCATTCATCGGAAGCGTTAAGTTGTTAATATTTATAGATTCTATCCTTGGTCCAGTTTTGTACCTTGTCTATATTAATAATCTTACTGATAATCTTACCTCTAAAGTGATGATGATCACATTTTGATTGCTAAGAACAGACAGGTAGTTTTAAACTTGATCCCTCTTCCATGATTACTTGGGGCTTGCTGTGGCTGGTGAATTCTAATCACAAATCAAAACTCAGTTATTTACTGCTTATTTCAATATTGTTAATATTTCTATGTTGATAAATATATTGATGAGTTCTCTACTTTATACTTTCTCATATCTTATATCAGATTATCCTTCACCACTGACCTATCGCAAAAACCAAAAATATAATCAGTTGCAAAGTTAACGTCTGCTAAAGTTTTTTATTTTGCTTATCTTTTTCTTATATTTTATGAATCTTTTATCTATCTACGAAACTTTTATTTATCTCTATGAATCTTTTATTTATCCTTCTATGGAATACTGTTTTTATATTTGAACTGATTTTTCACATGAGATTTTTTTTAGACACTGTCTAAAAAGTTTAGATTCTTTTAGACACTGTCCGAAAAGTTTAGATTCTTTTAGACACTGTCCAAAAAGTTTAGATTCTTTTAGACACTGTCCAAAAAGTTTAGATTCTTTTAGACACTGTCCAAAAAGTTTAGATTCTTTTAGACACTGTCCAAACTTGTGTTGTAAAACTTGTTAGAATTGCTCTGGAGCTTTTGTCCCATCATAAAGTTGCATCTCTTTCTCATTACTATTAATATTAGTATGTTCAACCAAGTCATCATCATTTGTTCCATTAATCAAAGACAAATTTTATTACTCAGCATACTGCAAAGTTGAATTCTTTTACTAAAAATGTTACTTCATGCTCAAAAAAACTTTTATTTGTCTACTTTTTACTCAATTATCAATGCTTTGGAATTCTCTCCTGTCTTCACATTTTCCTGACTCATACAAATTAATGTTTTTTAAGTCTTCTTTTAACTGCTTTCTTGTTTTTAACTGTGTTGTTTGCATTCAGTTAACTTCCAACCACTATAACCAAATAGTGGTCTCTAGCAACCTCAACACTCAAAAAGGTGTAAATATGTTTAGAAAAAATAATTACATATTCAATGTTTTAAATATATCCATATATAATTTCAATTTCAATTAAAATAATAATTTTAGCCTAAGTATTTTTAAATACGTATTTAAAAATAACTTATAAAAAAAACTATATTTATTAACTAAAAAAAACTTATAAAAGAAAAACTAAAAAAAAAGTTGATGTTGATTGCGTTCTTGATAATATATTCATAATAGATAGGAAAGTATTTAGTTCTAAGAATGAAGATTTGTAAATAAAGAAAAATCTCCTCATAGTTAGTGCAAATATTGATGTATTAGCAAATTTGCTCAATTGAGGTTAAAGAAAAGAACAGAATCACTTAAGCAATCAAACTCTAACATGCTATGAATGAATTTGGAGAATAGTAACATCTGCGATATAATTATATTTCAATTTAATTATATATTTATCTAATTCGCAAAACTGAAATTATTTGGCTGAAGGAATTTTGTGGTTTTGCTGGCGTAGCATATCAAAGTCTATACTTTGTAACAAATCTAATGATGTCAAAATTTCAAGTTAAATCACAAAAATTAATAGTAGTTGAAAGGAACTGTCACAATCTTTCTAAAAAAAAACTACCCAATTTTATGCAACAGTTATTTTTAAAAATTCAAGATTTTGGGTTAAAAAGATAAGAAAGTGTAGAAAGAAAATAATAACTAGGAAAAAAAGTTGTTTTTGAAAATTCAAGATTTTGGGTTAAAAAGATAAGAAAGTGTAGAAAGAAAATAATAACTAGGAAAAAAAGTTGTTTTTAAAAATTCAAGATTTTGGGTTAAAAAGATAAGAAAGTGTAGAAAGAAAATAATAACTAGGACTAAGAATACTAAGATTAGAAAGAATTTTAATCAGATTATGGATCATCTTTATCTTCTTATCTTTAACATTATCTGCAACATTTTTGACCTCTCTTCAATATGGTGGTAAAATTGAGTCTTCAGTAGAAGAAGCAAATTGCAAATGTTCTAGTAAAACTTATCACAGTTCATCCGATCAGCATTCAATAATAAAATGTGTGACTGTGAATGTCTGATTAAAGATTAACCTTAAGAAAAACATTTTTTTTTTTGGCAAAAACAATTTGCCGAATTTAGTATAGTTTCAATTTAGTTTGTTTTAGATTATATTTCAATAATTGTTTTAAACATAAATTTTCTCTCTTTTTTCTTTAAATTTTCTTCTCAAGAACCATTGCACAGATGTGGATTAATCCCCAATAACATGTCAGTGTAAAACTAAAACAAATGGGTAAACTAAATTGGTTCAATTGAATAATTTTTTTAATTTATTACTTTTAAATTCATATGAGTTCGATACTAACAACTTAAAATGTCCACTGTTTTGCCTACTGTGAACTAATCACAAATTTGTTCTGGCCTAACTGCTTTAAACTGAAATTTTTTGCTAAAATTTAGAATTTAGAATTACTGTTTCATTATATGAAGTAAGTTTTTAGCACATAATGATCTTTCTTGCGAAATTGATTGCTTGCTCTTCTCTTTCACTTATGAAAGTGCCTTATATATGTGTTAAGTGCCTTATATATGTGTATAAAACTTATAATAAAATATACCTTATATAGGTATATAAAGTATATGTAATATACTTTATAAAGGTTTTAACCAAGTTTTTAATTAGTCTATTAAAATTTTTATTTTTTTATTTTTTCGTTATTTCATTTTTGCTTTTTTTACTTAATTCCAAATTCATTCAAATAACACATTTGAAATATTTTTTTTTATCCAGTCTTTTTTATTTTTTTTTAATATTTTATTTTTTTAAAAATATGATTTTTACAATGTTGTTTACATTAGATGTTGTTCAAGAAATCCCATTCGTTGTACCTTCAGTTCGCGCTGATCCAGAGAAACCAAATCCTAAACTTGGAGTTGGTACTATTTTATTCAGTTTTGACAACAAATTTATTGCTACAAAGAATGGTTAGTTATTTCATTTCTATAAATACACATAATAACTAAACCAGTTTATTGTATGTATAACAATAGAGGTTTATGAACTTTAGACAATCAGCCAAATGTACTTTGGATATGGGACTTACAGAAGTTAAAACTATGTGCGCTTGTTGTCCAATGTCATCCTATTAAAGGTATTTTATTAAATATTTTAATTTTCAAAGTTTACATTTGGAAAAGTTATTTGATGTTTTAGTTTATATTTGTTTTTTGGAATATTGGTAATATGCAGGGTTACCACCAGTCCTGGAAAGTTCTTGAATTTAAAAGTTGTCCTGGAAAGTTCTGGATTTTATTAGAAATTCTGAAAAATCCTAAAAAAGCCCTGGAAATCTGCATATTTGTCAATTTATTATTGTTTGTTTCAAGCATCTTCCACGATATTTTGTTTTTATTAGATCATCTTACTTTAGTGGTTCTCAATAAAGTAAGATTTTTCAATACATGCACATACTATATAAGGAAGTTGAAGCTGTTTCAATGCATACACATACTATATAAGAAAGTTTAGTAATCAGTTTTTAAAATATTATTCAAAAGATTTCATTATAAAAACTGAATAAACTTTAAAATTTAAGGGAACTGAGGAAAGAGGAAGAGCGTGATCTTATAGATATCAGAACCTGTGAGCAAGTGGGTGGGAGCTAAATAATTTATTAAAAGTGATGTAGCCATTTTTAAATGACTCTCATAGTAGATAAGCAACCTATGAAAACTTACGGATCACTTGATTATCAGATATATAATTTGTTTGTGGTTTAAAAATGAAAACTTTGCTAAAATGGTTAAATCACTTAATGGTTAAAACACATATTACAGTAGTTTTAAAAAGCAAACAACCTTATAAAATAAAAGAGACTGAAAACTATGGTTCACAATCTAGTTTTGTCTGCCTAACTGAAATTTCTTGACATGATTTTTGAAAGATTGAATGGTTTTTTGAGACGCTTCCAGACAGGCAAACCAATGTTACCATTAATAGCTATTATATTTAAAAGAAAAAAACTTTTATTAATAATTTTTTTATTCTATTGCAAAAAGTAGCAGTAGTTTAATGTGTGTCTGTGTGTGTATGGCTATATTCTCTAATATAATCCTGAACTAAAAATTTAAAATATAAGTTAAATAAAATTTTATTGTTTCAACATAAGACAAAAATTAAATATGAGTTTAGTGATGCAATGCAGAAAAAGGTATTTTTTTATTAGCATATTTTTAAAATTAGTTTTGGGTAGGATTATTAGATTTTTTTGTTGTAATTTGTTTATTTTGCAATTAGTCAATCAGAAAAAAAAACATAATCAACAATATTTTTATGGGGAATTATTTTACAGGAAAAAAATAGTTCAGTGTTGCAAAGCTCAGTGACTAATCAAAAACAATTAAAATCATCTTTTAAAAATTTTGTTTTGTTTGTAATAAATTTTAATTATAGTTAGGTAAAAATAGTATAGGAACTGCATTATCATTCTAAACATAAAAATAATCTGATTTTGATGTATCTTTTTTTTTTTTTTTTTATTATCTCCTATCGCTTTCTGACAACCAACCAAAGCAAAGTAACTGAAAAATGACTTTAATCATTAACATATATGTATCATAATTTTTTTGATGTTGTTTCCTTCTGTTTGATCTGCACAGATGGTCAGTCCACTGATGGTTATTTGCACAATGGCATCCTTAAATTATCAAAAACATATTGCTCACTATTACAATGTATTTTAATTTTTGTAGCATTGTCTTGGGATCCTTGCGAAGTTCGTTTGGCATTTTGTAGTGGTAATAATAAAGTTTACATGTGGTCACCTGCAGGTTGTTTGTCAGTAGAAGTACCTGGTCAAGGTAAATCATGTTTACAATTTATATGTTACAGTGTTTGTTTTTCTAAATTTAATCTCACAAGGGCACTTTTTTTGCAATGCAAACTTTAAAAATTAATCCAAAAAGTTAGCTTTATAAGAATCCTTTTTACATGTTTTTATTTGAGAGATTTTATTTCAATTTTTTTTTTCTTTCTTTAATGTTTTAGGTGTATGTAAATATGCCTAATTAAGTAAGTCAGTTAAGTGAGTCGAAAAAACACATTTAGTTAAATGGCTCATAAAAACACAGTCAGTTGAGAATGAATAAATCCATGTTTTGGCGCTGTTTAATTACTGTAGATAGCACTGTTTTTTGGGATAATCATAGAGTTATTTTATTATAACGCAATCTTTCACTCCTTAGTGATTGCCATGGCGAAATTCCACGAGCTATTGATTAAACTGTTTGAGCATCCACTTTATTCACCAGATCTAGCCTCAAGTGACTTCTTTTTATTTTCTCATCTAAAAATTGCACTATGGGGACAAAGATTTTTTTCAAATAAAAAGGCAATCATCTTTGCGAGCAATTATTTTGCGAAGAAAAGTGCAGAATTCTATTTGGATGGTTGCCAAGATGAGCACCCCTGGGAGAAGTGCATAAAGCTTCTAGGAAGAGAATGTTTAAAAATAAAAAAAAAATTAATCTTTGTTAGTTTCCAAACTTTTCAGACCACCCTTGTACCACCTTTGTATTACCTGATTTGAATATAATAACTTGCAAATCTGTCATACTATTGAATGGCTTAAAAAAACAAAAAAAATTTAAAACAGTAAAACAGTTGCTAATAAAAACCTACCAAAAGTTTTAGAATTTAGAGAATTTTTTTAAAAAAGTTTAGTATTATAATTTAGTATTAAATAATATTTTAATAACTTAAAACTTTTAAAAAATGGTTTAAATCCTCTTTAACTATTGGATCATTTATAGTTTTAGTGTAAACATCAAAAATAAAATAATAAATTAGTTTCAAATGTTTTCATTTTCTTTAATCTATTGGAATGAGTGTTTTGAAAAAGTTAAAGTAATAATGACTTGAAAAAAAAAGTTGAAGTAGTAATGAAAAGCTTCAAAAATGCCACTAAGTTATATAAGTGTCATATGTAATTGTGGATTCACTATAAAAAATCAGATCTGTAAAGTCTATATTTAGACAACAGAAGACAAATACAAAACAAGACACAACTACCAGTTCTAATAGTTCTATTATGTGGACATAATTTGTATGTTAAAAAAATAAAGAAGTTGTGGTAAGCGAACAAAAGATTATGCATAAGTATAAAACTATTTTAAGAAATAAATTGTAAGAAAATATAATCTTTTTTAGGTACCAAATTTAGATTTATTAGTAATTTTTGTTATTTTGGTTTGAATAAATTCTAAAGCGGTTTAAAATTAAATTTAATAACAACGTGGTACTTTGAAATACACTAATAACTTGATTTAACTTTTGATGTATCAAAGCTGTGTTAAAGTTACATTTATTAGTGTTAAGCATTTTTATTACACAACAAAATCTCATAACAAGGTCTGCAAGGACCATCACTAAGAAAATCACATAAAGAATCCCAGCCAGTTTTAAGGACATGCATTTAAGGTTTTTTTTTTTTGTTTGGTTCTAAAAATAAAACCAACAACTCAGTTTTTTTGTTGTTGTTGTTTTGTTTTGTTTTTTGTTTTGTTTTTTTGATAGGTTTGGTTCAATTTCGATTAAAAATAAAACAAAGTTATAGTGGTTATTTATTTAATAAATTTAGAATTTAGAATTTATCTTTAGATTTATAAAAATATCAAAGAAAACTAAAAATTAGTTTTTATTTTTTTCATATTTTCTTTTATATAAACAATTTTTTTCATCATTTTCAACCGCCACCATAGTTCTTCTGACAGTGATGACAGAAGTAAACCAGCAGTAAAAAAAACCCTTTCTAACGTTGCAGAAGTTGCTGACATACAAAGATATCTTTGTGCATAATTTGATCAAATTGGGTACTGCAACTTCATAATTTTCCACAACTATAAAATGTTTGTTGTTTCTTCAGCTGTATGTCTGCTAAATAATGATTAATTTCCAAACCCAATTTGTCATTGTTGAAATACTGCGTGCTGAAATATCTTGTTTCAGTCTTTTTCTAAGCAGTTCATGGTGATAAACTTTAACATTTTCATCACTTTCATTGTCTGTTTTGTTGCTATTCATTGAAGCTTTATTGTGTTTTCTTTATTGTGTTGTGTTTCTTTTATTTCATTGCATTTTTTATATTCAGTTAAATGTAGGCCTTTTGTAATGTGGGTCTAAAAAAATCACAAAATAATCAGCTGCTCAGCACAATTAAGAGGGTATCTCTCCAGCAGTTTAAAAATCAGCATTTTTATAAATGTTCTTGTTGGCTTGTGTTTTTCATGTTGATAGGAAAGAAGTTTTTGGTGCAAGGAATATAATTAAGTTATCACATCTTGGATTGTTGGTCTTTTATCAGCTGATAAGGTTGCTGAAATATTGTAAATTTTTTCAAGAAAAGGAATGCTGTATTATAGTGTCTTCCATTGATCATCTGATGGACATGACATTTCAAACAGAATTCTATCATATTGTGTATGGAATAATGAATTTCCTGGGCTTAACTTCAAGTTCTTCTCTCTACAACAAGTATCTTGAAACTTGGTTGTAGAGAGAACTTTTTTATGTGTGTGATACTAAATCCGTACAGTTTTTTATTGCTTTAGAAAGTTTAATTTTTGATTGTTTTAAGAATAAGTAGCTGAATTGTGTGATCATTGCAGCTCAATTCTGAATTAATTTCATCAATTTCTTTTGCAGCTAAAACAATGTTGCTGCCATTGTCATTAATGCAGACTTAATAGACTTTTTCATTTAAGTTTAAATTAGCAATAGAAGCGTCCAGGTTTAATGTAATCTCAATCATGTCTGGTAGACATACTGGGGATGTCTACCAGTAAAAGGTGGGCAAGCAATAAGAAAACTTACTAAATTAAAGTCTGAACTAATGTAGTGAATTGTAAGACTCATTTAGGAATCATTGTTCTGACTTGTCCAGTGATCTGTTTTAAAACTGGAAAAAAGATAAATGAGAGGTTTGCAACCTTTTATTTACCCTTTCATACAACATAGGAAGTTTTTGACGCCTAAATATTGATGCAGATAGAAACGAGGTCGGCAATTTTTTTCCGACCTCAAACACTTTCAATGCCGAACCTAATTCCGAGGGTGATATATACATAAATAAATATATATATATATATATATATATATATATATATATATATATATATATATATATATATATATATATATATATATATATATATATATATATATATATATATATATATATATGTATATATATATATATGTATATATATATATATGTATATATGTATATATATATATATATGTATATATATATATATATATATATATATATATATATATATATATATATATGTATATATATATATATATATATATATATATATATATATATATATATATATATATATATATATATATATATATATATATATATGTATATATATATATATATATATATATATATATATATATATATATATATATATATATATATATATATATATATATATATACATACATACACAGTCCTTGAAATGAGGCGGAATGCCATCCTGTCACTTTTTTATAAAGTATAAACCATCCCAACAACTTTTTATAAATCTCTATATATAACAATGGATAGGTGGGATGGTATTTTTAATTTACTGAATACCACCCTGCTACCTTTTTTTCACTTTGAGCACTGTGTATATATATTTATATATATATATATATATATATATATATATGTATGTATGTATGTATATATATATATATATATATATATATATATATATATATATATATATATATATATATATATATATATATATATATATATATATACATACATACATATATATATACATACATACATATATATATATATATATATATATATATATATATATATATATATATATATATATATATGTATATGTATATATATATATATATATATAAATATATATATATATGTGTGTATATATATATATATATATATATATATATATATATATATATATATATATATATATACACATGTATGTATGTATGTATATAATTAAAAGGCCACAAAAAAAAACTAATTTACATTAACATACTAGTCTCAGAAAAGTTTTGTCTCAGAAAAATTTTCTTGACGAGACTTCGACATTAAATGATCACTTTTATTCTCAGAACAGCTAGAAGCCTACTCAGGTCTCTGAATGTTAAATCTTTCAGCATCGTATGAAGTTATTTGTAATTTGATTATTAGCACGATAAAGAGATGCAACATTAGCAGATGTTAGTTTTACATATTATTATTTGGTATATGATTTCCTAGAAAGATTGGAAATAAGAGTTGATTCTAGAAAATGAGGGAAATAGAAAATGACTCATTGATTACATTGAGGAAGATCTAGATAATGGTGATAATGATTAGCTGAAAAAAATTGAGTTAATGTTTACCAACCACTGAGAGCCTCATGCTGAAGAAGAAATGAGATCTTTATCAAGCTCAAATTTCTCCTCCAAGCAATCAGAGAGTGTTGACATTTTATCAAGACAAGTATAAATGGTAGTATTATCAGTGAGTAATGAAACCTTAGATGTGAGAATTTCTGGGAGATTGTTTATATAAATTTAAAAAAAGTGTAGGGCCAAGGATAAAATCTTAATGAACTCCTAAAGTTACAGGAAATGAATAAGAGTGCTATTCACCGAGAACAATTAATATACTACAATTGGTAAAAAAAGGATTCAATAATTTTAAAGATGTTACCTGATACACCATAAGAAAAGAGTTTATGGAAAAGACCAGCATGCTAAACTCTATCAAAAGCTTAAGAAATGTCGAGATCGGTACCCCTAACCTCTCGACATCTATCTAATTCACAGTCGAACATATTGGTTATTACCGTTAACAAATCAACAATAGAACAGAAAGATTGAAATCCATATTGATGATCAGAAAATAAGTTATTAGATTCAAAATAAGAGATTTAGTGTTTGTTAATTTAAGACTCAAAAACCTTGCTTATAATAGGAAGAAGTCTAAAGAAACAATAGTTAAACAAGTCAGACCGCTCCCTAGAATTTTTGAAAGTAGAGGTAACAGATGCTGTTTTCTAGCAGGCTGGAAAATAAGACTCAGTGAAGCTCTTTTTAAATAGGTTTGAAATTATAGGCGACAGCTCCAGACAACGCTTCTGCAAGACTATAGTAGGTATGTTGTCTGGACCACAAGCTGGTAGAAGAGTCTTAAATTGGTAAAAAGTTCTTATCAAACAATTCAGTTTTGTCTTTTAATGAGGTAACAAAATCCGAACCATGCAAGAGAGGTTGAATAACAAATTTGCTTTTATTATAGATACTGTTAAAGATTCTTCAAAAGTGTTGGTAGCCTAATTTTTGAGATAAAATACATGATTTCGTGACCTGAGAATAGCAGGCTTTTGTGTTAGACAAAACCATTTTACAATGATTTCTAGCAATAGTAAACAGGTGTCTGTTTTTTTGAGAATTATTTTGTTTATATATATAGAAGTAATGGTTATGATTGTAAATTGCAGCAGCACAATTAGAAGAAAACCATGAAGAGGAGTGAGGCTTGACTTGAAATGGTCAAGAGGAATAAAGGATTTCATCCCGGCCTGAATCCAAGATGTTACATAAGAAGAGCATTTGTCAGCAGGAAGATGAAAGATTTCTACCCTAGGGCCATCACGGAGAAAATCACAGAAAGAGCCCCAGTCAGTTTTAAGGTAGTTGTAAGAGATGCAATGATAGGGGGTGATAGTTGTAAGAGATGCAATGATAGGGGATTCTAATGAAGAAGAATGAGATAATAGTTTTAGATTAAACCGTGATCTGAAGCACCTAAGAGTGAATATGCAGAAACTGAGCACTGACTAGGATCAGAAGCAAGACATAAGTCTAGTAAAGGTAAATGATTCCTATTGTCTGGAAAACGAGTTAGAAAGACTATTTGTGTTAGAGATTAAGAAAAGCAAACATTGTCAGTCTTAATGCCTGCAGAGTCACTGACACTAGAGCAAAGCCATTCAGTGTGATGAACATAAAAGTCACCGACAACAACAATATTGGCTGAAAGATAAAAAGAAAGAACTTAGTCAATTTGATCAGAATCAACATCAAAAAGATGTGCAGTCTTGAAATGAAGAGTGCAGTCTTGAAATGAAGAGTGCAGTCTTGAAATGAAGATGTGCAGTCTTGAAATGAAGATATGCAGTCTTGAAATGAAGAGTGCAGTCTTAAAATGAAGAGTGCAGTCTTGAAATGAAGAGTGCAGTCTTGAAATGAAGAGTGCAGTCTTGAAATGAAGAGTGCAGTCTTGAAATAAAGAGTGCAGTCTTGAAATGAAGAGTGCAGTCTTGAAATGAAGAGTGCAGTCTTGAAGGAGAGTGATATAGAATAAAGAGAAAGGTTATAGATTGAACTTTGCAAGAGATAAAACAGACTCAACAGAAGAAAAGTTACTTCAAAGACTATAAGTTTTAGTGAATGATATATTTAAAGAACTTGGTAATGACAATGGCTTTTCATGTTTTATAGTTTTTAATACTTTAGTCATTTTTAGATTTGTTAGAGAACTGGAATTAAATCACAGATAGTACTCATTGCCTCATTACTATTAGAAAACCCTTATCCATTATGAAGGGCTTCAAATGTGGCATCAACAATGCATACCAAAAGTACAAACAGAGGAGCCATCCATGATCAACATGGCATCTTTAGTACTCTGATACTTTACAGCTGTTAATAGAATTAGCCTTTATGAGAGCTACCACAGAGTTTGGGAAACCTGACTATCAGCCAGCATCAGAATCATAAAACTGAGTTTTAGAGCTATACCCTCATTAGGAGAAAATAGAATGAGTTGCCTCGTGATAAAATTTATCCCGTTAAATAAAAAAAACTTTAAAATGTAAAGTAATGTTAATGTAAATAAAACTTTAAAATGTAAAGTAAACTGTGATTAATATATTTCATTATTTTGTAAAAAAAATTCAATATATTCAATTACCCTTGTATAACTCCTTGTATATCAAAATATAACAAAACTTGTATAACAAAATATAACAAAAAGTTTATATTGTTATTCAAGAACTCTACTTGTAAAAAAATTTAAATACCGAAAAATATTAAAACGAAGTTGAAAAACAAAATAAGATTTGATTTTTGTTAAAATTGATTTTAAATCCTTAACATATTAGTAAAATCTAATTGTAGGGAGTAGGGAAAGGAAGCGAATAATGTCGGTTAAACGTCCATCTATTTATATGTCGTTGGTGTATTTTACATTTTACTTTACTATGCATATTGAGGCAATTTTTGCATTTTTGAATTTACACTGGTACCAGTTTTTACACTTGACTTTGTTTGGTCCCGTTGTTGTTGTTGTTGTTGTTGTTGTTTTCGGTGTTGTTGCATGATTAAGTGCTGCTCATCATCAAAGTTAGACCTAAGTTGTTTCCAACCTTGCTGCTTTTTTACGTTCAACAAAAAATGCAAAGCATTTGTTGCAAAGGTGCTGCAAGCAATTGGGCAATTTGGTATTGTTTTCTAACTTCTTTTTGAAGCTTATTATAAATAGCCGGAGTTACTGCAATATTTAAAGCTGGCTGCCAGCAGATTGACTCTAACGTTGTCTTTAGAACTGATGCTATACGAGGTATGCTGATTTTAGATGTTTTTGGTGTAGATTCAGAAAGTATAGGCTGAGATGTGTAGTTGCTGGTGGTGGTACTGACATGTGGTTGCGATGACGAACATGAAAATAATTTATATAATTATTTTCTTACATTCATGCAAACGGTATAATTTTTTAATTAATTTTTACTAAAAAAATAATTTGATTAAATTTTTTTTTTTTTTTTAATTTTGTTACTAAACTTTCATCTCAGAAACAACTTAATTTATTTAAAAATAAAATTAAATATAACTAAAAAAATAAAACTTTTATTTTTATTATAAATGTTATTAATGTTTTATTATTGTTGTTTTCGTTGTTATAGCTTCGTAATTATGGTTTGTAGTTATAAATTTTATAATTATAAGTAGTTGTTTTATTATAATTATAATATTGTTATTTAGTTACTTTGTTTTAATTATTTAGTTAAACAATTTTATTTAGAAATATTTCTCGTAACAAATTTGAGTTGGTATCACACTGGGGATTCCTTGTTGCTAATGAGTAAAGATCAAATGTGTTTCTGCTACCTAGCGACAACTGCAAGTGTCATCTAACGACAATTCAAACAAATCAAGATAACTTTTTAATGACGTGTTGGTTTATATTTATTATATTTAAATAATAACGAATATTTTTAAATAATTTTTAGTTTGAAATTAATTATTTATGATAGCATCAAAATATTTTTTCATTTATTGGACCAATTGGGTATAGTCAATATGGATTGTAAACATATTTTTATAAAAAATTGAATTTATATTCAATTACCTGTAGAGTTTGATTTAGATTTTGATAAAGTATATCCAAAAAAGATTTCTTATCTTTCTTTAAATAGTAATGTTCTAAATCAATTTATGTCATTACTGTTGTTATTTTTGGTGATAAAAAACTCAAATGAATTTTTAGACCGGTTTAATTTCAATGTTGTCAAAGTTCTTTCAGCTTATTTTTGACCTTTACGCACCAAATGTGTTTACTATTGCAAACTTGTAATAAATTATCTACAATGCTAAGTAAAGTTCCACAGTTTATAAAATACAAAAAAAGAGAATTAGTCCATTTGTGCTGTAACTTTACTTATTTAAGAAACCTATTAATATCTCAGATTTATCTTTTTCCCGACTTGTAGAGCTTTATAATTTACAGATACGGAACAAAATGATTCAGTATTTATCTTTTAGCGTGTAGAGTAAAGTAGAAGAATATTCAGTATTCGTCAATAGGAAATTTATCTTGGGAAAATGTCTCCATTTCTTTTTACTTTTTTGAAATATCACATTTGCGTTTAAGGTGGTAGTAGTTTGGTCAAAATTCTAAAATCGTTTTTTTTTAACCAAACAGTATTGATTTTTTCATAAAATATTAAAAGACTGCTTAAAAACATAAAATTGAAAAAAAAAATTAAAATTTCTCATTTGGACCCAGGTTTTGGGTCGCAAAACCTAAAAATGTCTAAAGGCGCTGCAATAAATATTGAGACAATGGTAGATGCTATAAAACTCAAACCTTTAGTGTTTACTTGCATTATATTAAAGAACTCATGGAAGCAAAATTATAAAGTAAGCTTATAGCACCAAGGAGATTCAGCATATACAACTAGTGGGTCAAACTTTGTAACTCTGTCAAAATACAATATCAAAAAAATATACTGCTTCAATGAGTTTATCATATATATTATTACAACTGCACAAAATTTTAAAGAACCATAACAAGTAGTTCCCAAGTTATTTATCGCACAGTGTAAAAAATGTCGTTCTGAGAAAACAGCAATTTAAAAAAATTAACATCGAAAAAAACAAATTAAAATATAAAATAAGTTCTCATTCTATTTTTAAAGCTTTCTAATCACTCTTCAATGTATTAACTAACAACAATATTAATAAACTAAGTTTATAATGAGTTTTAACTAACTTTTTAAGTACAATAAAGAGGTTAGTATCCTTGTTTAAAAAAATATTAAAACTTCGAACTAAAAAAAAAAATTATGATAAACAAATTTAAATTTTTAAAACAAGTAATTATATCAATTGAAATATAACAAAACCACACAAAACTGCCAGAGCTTTAAGCTGCTTCTTCACTTAAAAAAAACCACACAAAACTGCCAGAGCTTTAAGCCACTTCTTCACTTAAAAAAATCACACAAAACTGCCAGAGCTTTAAGCTATTTCTTCACTTAAAAAAATCACACAAAACTGCCAGAGCTTTAAGCTATTTCTTCACTTAAAAAAATCACACAAAACTGCCAGAGCTTTAAGCTATTTCTTCACTTAAAAAAATCACACAAAACTGCCAGAGCTTTAAGCTATTTCTTCACTTAAAAAAACCACACAAAACTGTCAGAGCTTTAAGCTACTTTTTCACTTTCTTCATATTAATCACTATAATCTTTTTATTTTGCTCTTATTTGTTTCCGACATTGCTTTACCTCATCAGTCAATTTTTTTTTTTTTTTTTGCAATATTTATCAACTATTTGACTACCTCTTTGTTTGCAAAATGTAATACAGTTTTTGTTAGAATTTATACCAAGCTCTAAATAATCATTTAACAAACCAGCTAATCCTTCATTTAATTTAATAACAGCTGATGCTGCACCTATCTCTAAAGCAATTTGCCCCACACAAACATTTTTTGGACTCCGATTTTAAATTATTGCATTTAAGGCTTCATTATTGTTTCGAGTTTTTCCATTAAGGCACTTTTTTAACAAGCTTCAATCTGATAATCTATGAATACTGGTTATGTCCCTGATAACAATAGGCAGTCCAGATTTTTCTTTATAAACATTTGTTTTATCAATTTTATATCCTTTATATTTGCAAATAGTTTGAGGACACATAGCTGTCTTACATCAGAAGATGATGCCATAGTAATTAAATAATACAGCTTTAATTCATAAACAGACTTCCCACAACATTGACAAATCACAATTCCAAAATAATTTTGTAACATTGCAACTACTGAATGTAATTTTATACTTGCAACTTATTTACTAGTATAGAGTTTTGTTTACCATAAAATTTTAATGCAACTCAATAGCAACAAAGAACTTAAACTTTTTTTATTTTTATGATCTATATTAATATTGATTGAATTGCTCTTACAGTCAGGGCATGTTCCAACTAAGGTAAGAATTTGTACAATTATATCAAGATCAATTAAAACAAAGTTAGACTTCTTTTTTATGACTTTGAGATAGTAAAATAGGTTCATTATTGGCAATAACATTGCTGGTTGATGTTGTAAAATATGTAAAATGCTAAAGTTTTAGCATTTCTGTCAATTAATGACAATACTTGGCTCGCAGAAGTATCTTTATTTTGGGAAAAAATTGCCAAACTTGATTTTTTGAAGTGCTTTTTCTTTTTTTAAACACTCTTGAGGCACCAGTTTATCTTCTTCTTAATAAAAATATAATTAAAAAATAATTAATAAAAGCTTCAGTTTTCATATTAATTGATTAGAAATAATAAATTTATTTTAATCTACACTAAATAATTTATAAACAACCATACTCTTGCTATATTCAACATTAGTAACTGAAATAGATATCATGTGTTTATGTAATGATAGTATATAAGATAACTGCTTATATAAGTGCTGGTTTTAATGTTTTTACGGCAAAAAAGAAGCCAAATTTGCTTAGTAATTTCTCAAAACTTACGATAGAAAATACTTGCTTCAGGGAGTTCAATAAGATGATATACATGGTGTTTACCTTGTTGCTATGCCGTTGCTAAGGAGCAACATTATATAGTACTACTTTTTATATAAAAAATAGACGGTTTTATATAGAATACATCAAAAAATAAATAACACTATCGTTTTCAGCATGAATGAAAATGTCTAAAAAAGTTATAATCAAAAAATCAAAAAATTGGAAGTTTTTGACCATACTACCACCTTAAAAGATTTTTTTTATCAAATATTATTTTAAGACTGAATAAATAAAAGTTTACACTATTACGTTTTATTATTTTCAGCGATGCAAAGTTGTTAATAACTTCATTAAAGTTGATTTTAAAACACTTGATATTCAGTAGATAAAATTCCCTAATTAGAAATGCATTCTTAGCTAATCGCACTAAGCGTAGCACTGTTGCTTATAAAGGAAATAATTTATTAATCTGAGAACAAATAAATAGTTTAACACAACATATATTTATTTTTATGCATTAAAAAAAAAAAAATTTAGTGAGCTTGATTAACTTTTTACAGGGTTAACTTAGTTTACAGGTAACAAAGAGTTGTAAACCGATAGTTTTCTTTATTAAACCTTAAAGCATTTTAATTTATTATTTTGTTTTTTATGACTGTAAATAACAAAGGTTTTAGGAGGATAATCTGAATCGGTTTTCTATACAGTTCACACCGGTATAAATGAGTTGAAGTATCTTACTTCAGAGTATGTTGGCTATCTCTGAAGTATACAGAGGTTACCAGAATATTTTTTTACTTATAAAAAAATTGACTTGTTGCCTAAAATATGTTTCAAATAAAAAACTGGCTACTTCTCTAGTAACTTTATTCAATTGCGAACATGATTCAACAAGAAAAAACTATTTTGCAAAAATTTTTTGACTTTTCTGGTTTTTTTATTAGTTTAATATATCATTAAATTGAAAAATTATATAATTTGTTTATAATTTATATAAATGACTTCTGTAATGCATCTTTAAAACTGAATTCTGTCATGTTAGCAGATGACACTAATTTATTACTAACAATTTTATCAAAAAACTATACGCGGATATGAACATTGAACTAAATAAAGTAAACAATTGGTTTAGGAATAACAAACTCGCCTAATTTAGAGAAAACAAACTATATGCTACAGTATTTGAGAGGAAGATTTTTTTCTTGTTTTGTTTATGAAATAGTACTATTTCATAAAAAAAAAGAAAAAAAAAAAAGAAAAAGTCTTCCTCTCAAGTTGCCTGCCTTGATCCTAATAAACTAATTAAAAAACAATCTAATATAAGATTCTAAGAAATTATTGTTGAAAAGTTATCCTAGCTTCCTCATATATAATACATCCAGTGTAAAATAACCAAAACCATAGGATTAATGTATCGAGTTTGCTTTTACATCAATACACAGTCTTAAATTATTCTACTTTAGGCTAGTTTCATAGTTTTGTTAAACATTTTAGGGGAGGATGCAGTTCCCCCTACCCCCTCCCGGTGTCGTCGGTACTGTAAACGGTTTACTATATATATAAGCTATTAAATATTGTAAAAACAGTCTTTAAATTGCATACATATTCTATATTTTGTTCATTTTATTGTACATAGATTTATTATACATCATGAATTTCGAATAATTTTAATTTATTACTTTATATACAGTTTATTACATTTTGTTTACGATGTCTATGTAACACGATGTACGATGTACTATGTAACATGAATTTGTAATGACAAGAGATTAAAGAACAAAAAAAACCATATGTTATGTCATATTACGATATTCTTTTGAAATTTGTTAAAGGAGCTCTATGAAAAAATTGCGATGATGTATGGCCATCTTCATCTTTTTTGAGTCCGTGTCTGTTTTGATTTTTTTTTAATTTTATATTATAAAGTTGTAAAAGTTTCATTTTGTTTTAGAACGAAGGAGAAAAAAAAAAAGGAAATCAAACATTAATCGAAATCGAGTGTTTTTTAACCCTAACGTTTTCCCTCTCAAAAAAGAAAAATTGCAAAAACTTTTAATAATCTCTTTTTAATAAGAAATTTAGTACTTGATTTCGTAAAAAAAATATTTGAAATTGGAAAACCTTTAGGTAAAATCTTATTTCCGCTTAATGACTTGGTGCATCGTTGAGTAT